GGCACACAGCACACCCCCCCCCCCAGCCACAGCACCCATCCCTGAGGGGACCCCCTGGCACACAGCAGCCCCCCCCATCCACAGCACCCATACCCTCAGGGACCCCCTGGCACACAGCCCCCCCAGCCACAGTACCAATCCCTTCAGGGACCCCCTGGCAAACAGCACATCCCCCCCCCAGACACAGCACCCATCCCTGAGGGGACCCCCTGGCAAACAGCACATCCCCCCCCCAGACACAGCACCCATACCCTCAGGGACCCCCTGGCACACAGCCCCCCCCCCCAGCCACAGTACCAATCCCTGAGGGGACCCCCTGGCAAACAGCACCCCCCCCCCATACACAGCACCCATACCCTCAGGGACCCCCTGGCACACAGCATGACCCAGCCACAGTACCAATCCCTTCAGGGACCCCCTGGCAAACAGCACGTCCCCCCCCAGACACAGCACCCATCCCTGAGGGGACCCCCTGGCACACAGCATGACCCAGCCACAGCACCCGTTCCCCCGGGGACCCCCCAGCACACAGCCCCCCCCAGCCACACTGATCCTTCACATCCCCTCCTGGTGCCAACCCCTGGGACAGACTGGCAGATGCCCCCACCCCAGCCAAGTTCAGAAAGACAAGAGCAGTTTTAGGAGCACCGAGGCACTGCCTGCACCTCCCAAACCCAAAATGCCCTTTTCCTTCCCAGAAATGGAAGGGGAGGGAGGGATGTGTGCGATGGGGCCCAGGGACGAGGGATGCTGCTGGATCCAGGCTGGCACTGGTGTTAAATGGTCTGCAGAGAACCCCTGCTCCCCTGCTTTATCATGCCAAGGGGGGGATTGCTCCCCAAAACTCACACAGCGATAGTCAAGGTCCAGCACTCGCTTCTGCAAGCAATTAGCACAACTTTGCCAAGCAGGCTGAGCGCTGAAGCTTCCAGAGGAATCTGTACTTTCTGCTGATTTGAAGCCTCCCCGCAGCCTGCTGGAGAGGGACATACCCCCCCACACACCCCTCCCCACAGCCCCACACATCTCCTCTCCCCGACGTGGTTGGACTAGCAGGTCCCGGGGCCAATAGCCACAGGTGGGGTGGGAAGCGGCTGCCCTACGGGGAGCTGGATACGCGGCATCCCCTTTCACAGCAGCCCGGCCGAAGAGCAAGCCGTCTGCAGAGCCTCCAGGGTTGGTCCTCCCACCTTGCGGGAGGTTTTTGGGGCCTGGCGGAGAGGGTGTAGGTCTGGAAGCACCCTCTGAAACACCGCGGGCGGTTTCCAGGCCCTCCAGGTCTCAAAGCAATCCCTCCTTGCTCAGGCCACTGACATTGCCTTGGGGAAACGAGGTCTGCTGCCCGCCCGGCTGCTCCCCAGCACGTGCAGGCACCACGGTGGGCTCCTCCGACGGCTCTATCAGTACCAGCACCAAGTTCTGCTCATCTTCTGCTGGTTTCCACCGCAGCACTGAGAAAAGCCGTGCGATGACTTCAGGCTCCCCTCGCCGCCAGCAGCCGCCGCCGCAGGAAGATGCTATTTTAGCTAATCCACAAAAACCCAATTCCCTCAGCTCCTCGCTGCCTGCCCCCCATTTCACTTAGGTTGACCTCCGAGCCCTCAGAGGGTCCCATCTAGGGGGACCCCAGCCCCACCGCCCCCCAAGACCCCCAACGCCCCCGGTGCTACAGCCTCGCTCGCACCCAGCACCACCCATGGCCACCGCGCCGCTCCGGAAGGCACTGTCGAATCAGTATTTATAGGACACCAACAGGCTGAAGGAAAAAGAGAAAAACAGCATTAACACATTCACCAGCACTGGAAAGGAGGGCCAGGAATGTAAACGGAGCCCAGAGGCAGTCCGAAAATGGTAACGGCTGGAAAGCAGGGGTGGAAAGTTTGTTAATCGGGATCTTAGATACTAGCCAGGCTCCTGGCCTTCGGCTCAGCCAAAATATCCCTTCCCGAGACGCTCTGCTGAATTTTACAGCCAAATGCCACAGGGCAGACCCCAGCGGTCACACACTCAGACGGCAACTACTCCGGTTTAAAGCTCAAATCAAGAGCTATAAATCCAACCAAGGTTTCATTCACCCTGCGGCGTGTAAAATTACCCTGGTTTGGTTCATTTACAGCTCACTATCAATTAAGAGCTTCAGTCCTAAATGGAAATGTTATCAATTTTTTTCTTTTTTTTTTTTTTTTAAATTCTCCATTTTTATCCCACAAATTGGCATCTAGAAACTCCCCCTGCCCTAAGGAGCGCACCAAAAGTCAGGGCTCCCCACGCGCACGCACCTTGCTTTGGAAGGCAGGATTTTTTAAAAAAAAGCCCCCCAAAGTTCAGGAGGACAACTGTTGTCGCTCCCCTAAGTTTGGCATCGCCTGGGCAAAGCCAAACCCAGAAGAAGGGAGCTCCCAAACGCCTCATCAGCATTTCTTTTCATCTTGCTCCTCTTCTCTGCACAGACGCTCCAAAATTCACTAACATTTCAGAATCAAAAAAGAGCAACCCACGATCCACCACTCCCATTCAGTGGCGGAAGGAAAAATGTCTTATTTTTATTTTCTTTCATTTTTTAAAAAGCCTTGCTGCCTGCTTCCAAGCGACACAGCTTTCCTCCAGACTTTTGTGCCCTGACAGGCTTTAGGCACCCCTTAATAGAGACTTCAGGTAAGAAACAACCCTGAATTTGGGGAGAAACTGCAGGAAGGAGCAACCGTGCAGCAGGCGTGTTCTGCACCAGCAGCAGTGCCTGCTCTGAAGGAGGGGGGTTCCTTGCTGCCTTCTCCACCCCCCCCCTCCTACATCCCACTTTTTAACTCAGGTTCAGGCTGGAGAGAAGCGCATGTAGCAAGAGTATAGTAATAAAAATAATTTAATAATAATAATTTAATAATAAACCAGGTAAGAGTGCAAAGTGACGGCTCTGCCCCGGGCTCCCGGCAGAGCGCAGGCACTGCTGCTGCTGCAATATGCGCCTGCATCCACGGGAGGTCATGGCAGGACCACGCCGGGCGTGGGCAAGGGCCCCCCACCCCTGTCCCCCCCGCCAAACCCGGGTCAGTGGCACCCTTGGGCATCTCCCTCCTGGCTTCAGCCAAGCGGGCGCGGGCCGTTTGGGAATGCGGCGTGCCACTGCGGTATTTCACACACGGTGTCTGTGTCCCCAAGCGATGCACTTTCAGGGGGTGTCACGGGGCTGGGGGAGAGTTTCTGGTAGTTTGCTGAGACACCCACAAAAATTGGGGGCCCCCAGGATCTGGCTGCTGCAGCAGCCCCTGCAGCACCTTCCACCCCCCCTGCAGCATCCTTCCTACTAGGGGGGAAAAAGGCTTTTGCTGCTCTCAGATCCACCCCCCATACAGAGTGGATGGTACAAAAAGAGTCTGACTTTGCTGCTCCTTGGTTTAAAACTATGTCTATATAGCTATAGCTCATGGTACTGATAAAAAAAATGAAAGAAAATAAAAATAAGACATTTTTCCTTCTGCCACTGAATGGGAGCGGTGGATCGTGGGTTGCTCTTTTTTGATTCTGAAATGTTAGCGAATTTTGGAGCGTCTGTGCAGAGAAGAGGAGCAAGATGAAAAGAAATGCTGATGAGGCGTTTGGGAGCTCCCTTCTTCTGGGTTTGGCTTTGCCCAGGCGATGCCAAACTTAGGGGAGCGACAACAGTTTTCCTCCTGAATTTTGGGGTGCTTTTTTTTTTTTTTTTGAAATCCTGCCTTCCAAAGTCCCTGCAGCAAGGTGCGTGCGCGTGGGGAGCCCTGATTTTGGTGCGCTCCTTAGGGCAAGGGGAGTTTCTAGATGTCAATTTGGGGGATAAAAATGGAGAATTAAAAAATATAATAATTAAAAATTTATAACAATAATGTTTTATATATTTTTTATATATATATATTTTATATATATATATATGTATGTATGTATGTATGTATGTATGTATAATTAAAGTGACCATTGTCCTGGACCAGGACAATTTGTGGCAACACACCTGCACCAGCACAGCCTCCCTGCAAGGGCGTGAGCTGGGGCTGTGACCTCCCCCCCCAGAAGAAGCAGAAGAGATGGGGCAACCAAGGCTACAGCATGGGCTGGGGGATGCCACCAGGCCAGGGGCTGGGCTTAAATGCGCTCCTGGAGCTGGGGGGACCCCAGGTGAGGCTGCTTGGGGCTGTGAAGGTCCATCAGGGCCCTCAGGGACAGCTTTGGCTTTGCTGTAGCAGCTTTGCAGCTCCCAGCAGCTAAACCCCAGTTTACACGACGGCCCGAGAGAAGGGCAGCCAACATTTCGGAAACCTGCCCAGCGCTCGCAAGGCGGGGACGGGTGCCGTGGGCTGGCGTACGTTCCTCTTGGCATCAGCTGGAAGGGGTCACCGGGGGGGGGTACCCCCCAGACTGGTGCAAACATGCCTCTAGCAGCAATGCGGGAAACTCTTGGGGGGGGTTGCAGTTTAAGCTCAGCTTAAGTTCAAGGGTTTATTTGCAGGTTTGGAGGCTGGCTTGGACATGTCCCAAGCAGGACTTCCTTTGGCACCTCTCTTGTTTGATGCTCAGGTCTAAGTAAGTTTTTTGCACCTGGTGGTGCAGGATAAATGACCGATTCACAGCAATTTTGTACATGGGAGACATTTCTATGCTAAAGTCCGATTTTTCTGTACAGGAAATTTTGCAGTTGAGTCCCCCATTAACCCATGGCTGTTGGTTCTGGGTTTGACAGTCCCCTGCTCTTTATAACACTGAGTTTTGCCTGGTGAGATGCAAGATGGGGCTCGCTCCCGATTTACTGTCCTGGGCCTGGATCTGCTTTTTTCCAAGTTCAAAATTTGGAAAGCAACTCACCTAAAGAACTTGAGAGGGAAAAAAATAAAAACAATTTTGAAAAAAGCTAAAATATAAAGGAAGGAGGGTTGACCCGCTAGGAGAGTAAAGCCCAGGCAGCATTTGCTCCGAAGGGAAGAGAAAATCTCCCCCACGCCCCGTATCATGGTCAGAAGAAACCTCCAGCACCTCGATTTAATAGAACCAAGATCTTTATTGATCTCACTGTAACAGCAACCACTGGTGAGAGCTTTTCTCCTCCCAAACACCTGCTTGAAGAGACGGTAAAAAATCCCAAATCTATACCCTGACTAGCAGAGGAGCTGCCCCGACGAGGCTAGGCACTCCCTCCCTGCTCTTCGCTCCCGAGCCAGGTTATAAAAGAGAACTGGGAGAAAGTTGCTGGGATGAGGAATGGGGACAAAAGTTCAGGAAAGGGGGCATTTAGAAAAATCAAGTGGTTTCCCTCTGGCTCCTGTCTATAAATTGTCCTCGGATGTTTCCTTTTTTTTTATTTTATTTTTAATTTTGGCTTGGAGAGCAGGTTTCCTAAAACGAGTGTCCGTGCCGAGGGCGAAGGGTCCCTGCACCCACGGTGGCCGTCCCCGCTCCGCAAAGGATGTCCTCGCCCCTGCCGCTCCCTCGATCCAAGGACCTAACAGACCTCCTCGGATCTTCGCTTTAAGGAAAATATATTTATTTATATATAATATATATATTTGTGTGTGTCTTATCACCACCCACCCACACGCATATACATATTTCTACTTTCACTCACTCACTCGTGCGCCTACAACGGCCGGCTACATGTTCACGTCACATCCCACTGAGAGCTACCCATGCAAGGGAAAGGCTGGGAGAGACATCCCATTCCCTAGGGTTTGGGGTTTTTTGGCTTTCCACACCACACCCCACCCCCCCACCCCACCCCCCCCACCCCCCAAAAAAAAGAGCGGCAGGCCTCCCCATCCCCTTCACATGAAAAGCAGCTGGAAGGAAGATGGGAGCTCGCAACCCACCGCCACGCCGACCTGCATCAAACACACCTAGAGAAATAAATTACCGGACGGAAAGTGCACAAAGCCTGCAGCACGGATGCCGGTGAGGGGCATTAACTGTCCCTGGCCTGCAGAGCCACCCCCCCGGAATGGGGGGGGGGGGACATGACCCCGGCGAGGGAGGGAGGATGGATGGAGCAGGCACTCAGGTGAGGGGCCGATAAAATGGCACTTGAGAAGGTTGCAGAGCTGTTGACGGCCCAACAGGTAGTAAAAAAAAATAAAAATAAAAATAGGGGGGTGGGGGCTGGTGGATTTGGGGGGGGGGGGCATAGCACAGCACCGCCGCGGCATCCCCCGCCACGAACACCCTCACCAAATGCTGCTCTTCAAGGTGAGAGCCGCACCGAGGGAGGAGAAAAAATAAATCTCATTTCTGGGGGGGGGGGGGGATGTTTCAAGATATGGGCAGGATGGTGACAAAGCGCCAGGCTGGGAGAGCTGCCGGTGGCGGGGAGTTGAAAATGGAAAGCTCTTAACCACAGCAGCACGGCCTGGCCGGGGAGAGCCCGGGGGCCAAAAGCAAGCAGAGGATGGTACCGACACCAGCACCCCACCACCGGAGCGCCCCGGCCGCAGCGTCACATCCTTGCGCCGTGTCACCGGCGAGCCCCCCGCGTCCCCTCCCCGGGGGCACCCAGCTATTCCTGAGACAACCAACGGCGCCGAGGGATATCGCTCCTGTATTATTCACATTTTAAAAGGGGAGGGGGACTAATTTAAAAAAAAAAAAAAAAAAAAGCACTAGAAAGCACTTTCCCAGAGGTGCTTGTCCCCAGCCCTTAAAAAGAAGCGTTGCTGGTAAAGTGTCTCTTTTTAGTACCAAAAAAAAAATAAAAGCAAGGGCTTTTTTGTAACATATGGCTACATCGCTTGGAGTCCTGGCTGGAGGGCTGGGGATGCAGCCCCCAGTCAAAGGGCCAAGAAATCCAGGTAGGAGAGAGATGTGGGCACCCGGAGCACCAAAGGGAACGCGCTGCCAACGCTGTCCTCCACCGAATGCCAGCAGGTCCTGGGGAAACTGAAAAAAACCCCCTCCCCGGGGTGCAAGTGGGCACTCGGTTTTAGGAGTGACACTTTCCCCCTTCTCCTGAGAGGCTGCCCAGATTTTCTGGGAGAAGGGGCAAAGGGAGTGACGCAGCTCCGGACAGCCAAGCTGCCGGCAATGGGAGGTTTGGGGTAACGGGTGAGTGGGATTTTTTGGGGGGGGTGGGGTGGGGGGAGCATGAGGCAGCAGAAGAGGCAAAGGGACGTTTTTAAAAGGAGCCCGGTGGAGATGAGGCTGCCAGCGGGTGGAGGAGGAGGAATTAGGGCCGGAACCAGAAGGGATGCTCCGGCCGGCACATGCTGGGACCAGTCACCCGCGAAAGGGGGTGAAGCCAGAGTCTCAACCCCCAAAAAGAGGGGGGGAAGCGGGTGGGGAGGGGAGACGCCGGCGGGGTCCGCTGCCGCCTCCGCCTCGCCGGGACAGATCCTGCTAAGCCAATCGGGGTGTGCACAGGGTCTGGGTGGGGAGTTGCTGCCTCTCCGTGGTTCCCGCTCAGATATCCATCTCGAACTGAGCGTCGTCCCCTGGCGAGAGGCAAGGAGAGAGAAGCGTTAGGTGGGTCAACATCCCCCTGACGCCCCAAATCCTTCCCCCCACCCCCCCCATCCCACCGCGGGGGGGTCCTTTACCCATGGATGGCTTCCCCTCTTGGTGGTTCAGGTTGTTGACGTCCGCTTTGGGCTCCTCGCCGGGGCTGGTGACGCCAGGAATATTGGGGAGGTGACAAGGCGGGGTCTGGGCCATGGGGGAGTTGCGGCGGTCCAGCAGGAACTTGCGGTCGTAGATGATCCGGGTGCCTGGAGAGGAGGACGGGGGGGGGGGGGGGGTGGTAAGAATCCGGCCCTTTTTTTTGGGGGGGGTCTCCCGGTGGGATGGGCGCCCTGGCCAAGGATCTCTGCCGCAGCCCAAGGATGGGGGGGGGGGGGGGGGCACACACCCCCCCCCCCTCCCCAGCTCTGCCCACACTTAACTGGCACACGGTGGGCGATAATTAGGCGCTGGATAATCACCCCCGGCGACCCCCGGGGTACCAAGCTGTCCCCCGGGGTGAGGGATGCTCCAAGTGGGACGGGGTAAGGCACCCACCCGCCCCCCGCCCCACACCCACACACACACAGAGCCCGCTCCTCGCCACCGACACCCCACGGGGCCCCGCGCCGCGGGTGGGGGGGGGGACGGGGGGGGGGGGGGGTACCGCCCCGTTGCAAAAAAAAAAAAAAAAACAAACCAAAACAACAAAAAAAGCGCTTGCTCTGAGGCCAACTAGGCGCGATATAGGCGCGATATAGGCGCGATACAGGCGCGACAGGCGGCGTTTCCGAGAGGCGGGCGGGCGGGAGCGCTTCCCCCCCCCCGCCGCCGCCCTGCCAGGCCCCGCCGGGCCCCCGGCGCTTTACCTCCGGGGGTGGTGGAGAACAGGGTGCCGCCGGGGGTGGTGCAGTAGTCCGGGGGGAGCTGCCCCGCGTCGCTGAGGGCCACGGTGCGAGTGGGGATGGCCCGGCTCTGGCTGGGCTGGCGGCCGCCGGCGGACGACATGGCCCCGCACTATTGTCCCCGCGGAGGCGGCGCGGAGCGGGCACCGCCCCCCCCCCCCCCCCCCCCCCCCCCCGCCTCCCCGTGTGTCCCCCCCCCCCCCCCTTACACACACCCCACTCCACGCCTCCCCGTGCTCATGGCCGCCTCCCCCCACCCCCACCCCGCGCCCCACGACGCGCAACCGCGCTCCGCCGCCAGGGGGCAGGCGCGGGGGTGGGCGGCGCTGCCCGCGCCCTCCCGCGTGGTCTAGCGGTGAGGATTCCTGGCTTTCACCCAGGCGGCCCGGGTTCGACTCCCGGCGTGGGAAGAGTAATTTTTGAAGGGGAGGGAGGGATTTGGTGGGGGGAAAGAGCCGACGGGCGTTGTCGTGGGCATGGCTTCTTCCACCAAAACATTTTGGCTGAGCCGAGGTGATCAAAGCCACCGAGCTGAGCAAAGCCACCGGCAAAGCAGATGCAACCCCATATGCCAAACCCACCAACCCCCCAAAAATTGGGAATCCCGCGCCCCAACAGCTACACCACCCGCAGGGGCAAGGGGACGCATCCCCATATACCAAAGTACCAACCCGGAAAATTAAGAATCCTGTTCCCCTGAGGGCCACACCAGCCCTCGATCACCAGGAAAGGGGACGTATCCCCATCTCCCAAGCCAGGAAAGGGGACATATCCCCATCTCCCAAAAGCACCACCCTGGAAAGCTGGGAATCTCTTTACCCTGAGGGCCATGCCAGCCCCAGCACAGCCTCCCTCCTTCCCTCCCTCCCTCCCCTGGGAACGCTGATCCCGCTGGTTATTTTTAGCATCCCTCTCCCGAGAGGCCGGAGCGACTGGTTTCTCCCTCCAGCCATGGATCCCTCCGGCCGAAGCGTGTCCCCGGCGGGACCGGGCGCCCGCATGCAGAAGAGGATGGGCGAGGCGGTGGCCCGGGTGGCCAGGAAGGTGAACGACACCGTGGAGAACAAAACGGATTCCCTCGGTAAGCCTGGCGCTCCGGCTCAGCTCCTGCTCGGGGCCCAAAGGATCAGGTATCCGGGAGCAGGGCTCTATTTTTTGCTGCCACGATCTAAAAAAAGCGGTTGGCCTCCCCTCTGGGTGCTGCACCCAAGGCTCCCGCAGGCCTGGGGAAGAGAAAGGCTCCCCCAGCTCAGCCCCATGGAAGTTTGAGCAGGTTCCCAGCACCAGCACATAATCCCATGGGACATGCCCCAGGGATAACTGCTTTCCTTGCAAGCGATGGTGGGAGCCAGACCTCTTCCCACATTACCTTGTGAGATTTGGGTGTTTTTCTGCTATTTCCCTCTTTCTAGCTAATATCCAAGACCCACGTGCAGTTCATCAAAGGAGAGAGATGAAAGCCTCTCATTTTTATTCATGCTAGATTCCCAGCCCTGGGGTATAAACCAGCGTACACCAAGAATCAGAGCTTCATCGCTCAGTCTCTTGACATCCTCCTGAGCGAGACGCTAAGCGGGGGAGGACTGAGCTTGTGCAGCCCCCACCGTGGCTTCGGGGAGGGGGCAGGCAGCAGAACCCCAGGCTGAGCATCCCGGGGCCGGGACACAGGGTTTCCGTTCCCTGGCACGTCCCGGGAGGGGAAACAGAAACAGCTCAGAGCAAAACGAAAATGCCAACGGGAGAGAAGCGCAGTCAAATACTTTTTCCCTCCCTGCTGCTTGCCATGGGGCAAGCACCCGTCACCATGAGAAATCCAGCCGGGAGCACGCCCAGGGAAAGCCCTGCTCCATCTCCATCAGCTGCGGAGGAAGGGTCCCTGTGATGCTTGACCTCCCCCGGGGGGGTTAGGTCCGTAAGGAAATGGGATCACTGATGTTATTAGACATGGACAGGCTGGCTGAGGGGTTGCTGAAGGACCCTGAAGCGTGGAAGTATTTGCAGTGTGATTTAAGGTTGACCACACCTAAGGTAGAACAGCCTCAGCATCCCTGATGGGAACAAACTCTGGGCGCCTGCGGAGGTGACTGCAAAGATCCCTGCGATGCAGAGGGGTATGGTGGGGGGCATTATGGCACCCATGGGTGGCAGCACCCAGACAGGCAAATCAATCACGAAGGGGTGGAAAATGAGATGGAAAGCATTGCTCCATCCCAGCTGGGTGCCTGGGTCTCTCCGGGGGCAGATCTGGCCAACTGCAAGCTGATGACCTTCCCCGTCGGCATCTACAAAGCCATGAGGAGTGTCACCGAGGGGATCCACCGCATCTCCCTGGCAAACAACGAGCTGAAGTCCCTCACCAGCCGATTCGTCACCACCTACAGCCAGCTGAGAGGTAAGGGACAGCCCCACTGCTTCGCCACAGCCACTTCCAAACCCCCGGACCCAGCAAAGAGCCCCCCAGGTTGCTGCAGAGGGGGCACGGCACCTGGAGAGTTTCCCCCCACCACGGTGTTTGCTCCGCGGTGCTCACACTTCATTCCAAGTGCTAGTTCAGACCCCCCAAAACCCGTTTTGCTTTACCCTTTCCAGGTCTTGCAGGCAGAAGGCCCTGGTTTTGCTCTCACCCACCCTCCCAAACTCATGCCCTGCCACCTTCCAGCCACTTCCATCAACCTCCATCTCCTGCCAAGGATGGGGCTGGGGACAAAAGAGGACAGGAAAGGCAGCCTGGGAATAATGGTGCATGGCAGAGTTGGGGCATTTCAGGCTGCAGAAGGCTTGCTGCTGGCTAATTAGCCCCCATCATGAGACATCAGTGATAGCTGCTCACTCTCAACTCACTGCAGGAGATGAGAACAGTCATCAGTGCATGGCTGATGCCATGGGGACGCGTCCCTGTGGAGCCCAGCAAAAGCAGCCAGAAACTAACCTGCTAAAACATGGTCATGTAAGCACCTGGGGCATCCAGCGCCAGGGTTTTGAATGCTGGGGACTGAACCAGGGCTTTGCATGCCTGCAGCAGCACCTGGGGCTCTGGAAGCTTTTAAGAGCAAATGTTTTGCTCGTACAACATACTGCGCAAGTGCTGCCGTGGTGGGTGGCTCGGGAGGCTTCCCGTGTTGTACTGAGCTGGAGCATCATCCGTGAAAACTCCCCCTAAGCTGGAGAAAAGAAACACATCGAGCAAAGGAAATCAATTTTCATCTTCTAGACAGCACGGAGAGCCCTGAGGGGGAAAAAAGGTCTTGTTTCCCAAGTGAAACCAGTGAACAAATCGCTCTGGTGATGAAGGTGCCAGGCTTCAGCAGGGCTGTTGCAAGGGAGAAATGCCCCAGGGCTGGGGACAGCCTTGCACCAGCCTGGACAAGGCAGGACCTATAAATACCAGGTATTAGCAGGGGGAGGGCAGCTTGCATGGGTATTTATAGAGCAGAAAGCCCTGTGTCACTGGAGAAGGGCACTGGGACAGCAGGATTTGGGGTCCTGTTCCCACAGCTAACAGACTTTCATGCAGGAGTGCTGCTCCTGGCCCCACAGGAGCTCATTTCCAGGGGAGGACAAGCATCACAGGGGGTTGAACTCAGCAGAATAGATATTTTTCACATATAAATACATTTCCTCCGCCACTCTGCTTACCACTCTGCTTATACCTCAAGGAGGGGTTCAGGCACGTGAAGATGGAACGCTCTCTTTAAGCCATGGCAAATGCCCATTGTGGGGGGAATTGCACCAACTTCACTAAGAAATATTGCTTATTTCTACAGCCCCTGCTTGTGAAATGCTGCACGGGTTTCATTAGGAAAGCCCGAGGAAGCCAAGAAACTTATCACTCCTAAAAGCAGCACTCACAGCAGGCAAAACTACAATGACAAACCACCGAGAGGAAAAAGAACTCCCATTGTTGGAGTTGGAATTCCGTTGCTGGACCTGGCAGTCCATGGGGGACAGAGGCTGAAAATTAAGCTAGGCATTAATTATTTTCCCATCTTTTCCCTCCCTCCTCATCCCACCACCTCCCTCCCCTGACCCGCAGAGCTCAACCTGGCAGGCAACTACCTGCACCGCCTGCCCGAGGAGGTCACCTCCCTGCTGCACCTCCGGGCCATCGACCTCTCCCGAAACAGGTTTCGGCGTTTCCCTGAGCCCCTGGCCGCAGTTGCCACCCTGGAGACCATCGACCTGGAGGAGAATGAGATCGTAGGTGAGAAGGACCTCTTTTTTGCCTCCTGGAGGTGAGGATGAGCATCACCTCGGGGCAATTGCACTGCCCAGCGATGCCGACCCACACCCCTGGGCAGGGAGGGATGATGGTCTGAAGCTTTGCTTGTGGTCCATCATCCTCTGCAGATGCAGCCAGGCCGAGGGGTGGTTTAGTGATCCAGCAAAAACAGAATGAATTTGGCAGGGGGAAGGGCACACAAATGCAGGGGAGATGCTAAATAGACAGAGCCTCGTTAGCCACTTGCTTGTGCTGTCTCCTGGGATGAAGCTATAGGGGCAAGGGGAATAAAGCCCCTTGCAAGCCACCCTATTTACCACACGTTGATATGGCTCTCAAAGGCAGCTCCAGCTGTGACTCAAAAGCACCAAACTGAATAAAAATTAGACCTGACCGCAGGACCCAGCCCCAAGGATGCTGGGCTGGGATGTTTGCTGCCGGGCAAAGTAAGGGCCCAAGCCCCCCCCAGTACTTCCCAGAGCAAATAGGAGCCATAACACTACAAAATCCCCTAAAAAAAATGAAATTAAAGGAATGATAAAGAGCTACTCATCCCTCGACCCTGCAGTGGGAGGAAAATCTTTCACACGCAAAGCTGGAGCCTTTGGAGTCCCCGACAGCTGGGCAAAAGGGGCAGCTGTTTCATGTAGATAAAAGTGGATTTATTTAGGAGCGAGCTTTTGCAGAGCACAGGCTGGAGCATCCCACAGCCCACACAGATCCCCAGGGAAGCAAATATCGAGTCCATTCGATTTTACTGTTTTATCTGGGATGGCTTCAGCTGCTGCTGGGAAAGCCGCTCCCTGCAACACCAGTTTTATTAACAGCATCAGCCATGCCTGTAGAAACATAAGACATTAAATACTGCTTCTGAGAAAGCCAGAAATGACATGTTTTTTCCTCACTCCTGCTTTCTCTCCCGCCTCCCAGAGAGAGCTGTCTCACTCTTAGTTCCCTCCATCACTTTTTGAGCTTAATTGGTCAACTTCAATCAGACCTGGTCTCCAAGCACCATATTTCCCACTGGTTTTGTGCAAGCAGGGTGCTGCAAGAAGGGAATACAGCTTTTTCTTGCATTTTGCCCTGCTTAAATGCAGGGAGGAAAGGATGGATCAAGGACTGTACCCAGCTGGATTAATCCTAGGGGAGAGTGGAGCTAGAAAACCCAGCTCCCAGGCTTGGTCACCTCCTGCCAGGCTCCCCTTGGCTGCTGTTATCAGACTCTGGAAAAATAATGACGGGGTAGAAATTAACGATTTCAAGCTAGAATGTTTTAGGAACCTATCTTAATAATGAACACTATGCTGTCTGCTACAGAAATAGCTAAGATTAGCATATTTTACACATTTTTTCTGGAAAGGGAAGAGGTAGAGATTAGAAAGCTAGGGTTGTTGCAGCCCGTTTTTCCAAGGAAGCAAAAGCCTGGGCAATCACATTGCTCCTGCCAGCCCTTCCCAAATACCTCCTAGGCTCATCTGCACATGAGTTTGTATTATTTTATATATATATATATGCATTTTTATATGCTAATACAGGTTTTTATATTATCTATGAGCTTGCATTTATATATACACCTTTTCCTTCCACACTAGCCTGGCACAACAGGGGAAGGAGAGTTAAGAGGAGTCCATCAGCTTAAATTGAACTGGCACAGATTTTCTTTTTCCTTAACAGCCAAGTAGGATTTGAGCCCTTCACACTCATTTCACCCCAGGAGACCTTACGCCAGGCTGTAGGAGGTCGCATCTTCTCTTTCCCTCTCTGTACACGCTCACAACTCACCCACTGCAGCTGGCTGAGGACCCTGCTTTAGCAGCCGTGTCTCATGAGGAGCAGCTGAAACATCCTTGGAGAAGCTCTTGAGGCACCTGAAAGTTCATCCAGGTGCTGTTCTCCAGCAGCTCAGCATAGGAAGGAACTACTCCAGGAGCAAAAAAGCTGCATTTTGCTGCCTTTTATAATTTGGGAGCCAAGTTGCCCCACTTAGCCCAATAACGCATTGAAGACCCTGTTCCAGATAAAAGACTGGTCGGCGAGAAAAAGATATTCTACAGACCACGGGTGGGAGATGGAATCTGGGAGAGGACTGGGGCTTTCTCCACCAGTACGAGGGTTACAGATCACCCAGATTTTGGGGCTGCTGTAGCCATGTGCTATTCCCAGTCCTGCCTGTTCTCTGCTCCCTCAGCGATGCTGAAGGAACTGATAGCAGGGCTGCAAACCAGATTTAAAAGCATCTCCCAAAAGAGGGCTGTCACCTACTAGGCCATGCTGAACTAGAGATGGTAGGTAATGTTTTCCAGCTAAAGGGAAACAGGAGTAAAAGGAGATTAATTAACACCTGCCTGGAGTCTGTGGCTCTGTGAAAGGAGACCTTTAGTGCCACGAACCGCCCTTTTCATCTCAACCCTGGAGTGTAATTATATATATACTAATGTCAGTGCTTTTAACTCTTTCCCTGCTAATTAGCGTTAGATCAAATTAGCATTTTCAGCTCCTAAAACCATGGGGATTTTTTGGTGCCGGAAGCTTCAGTTTCCCTTACTCCTGGATTAATGGTTTAATGCAGAAGGCTGAGACAGCAAGGGGGATGCTGGGCACCGCTACCGAGGTTGGGCAGGTTGCTGCTGGGGGCAACGGTGGCTGATTTTCTCCTCCTAAGCATCCAAGAGAGCCACTATTAGTTTGGGGTAATGGCATGGAAAACGCATCTTTGTTAATAGCCGCAGAGGAGCCAGCAAGAGGATTTCCATCAGCGGGTTTTGGAGGAGGTTAGCAGGAGCTGGTGGCCACCAAAGGATGCGGGTGGTGCCGAAAGCTGACCGGGAAGCGGCTCCGCTGAGCTGAGCAGGGTCCTTCCCCCTTCAGTTTGTAACCGTAGGTGGATGTGAGACCGAGGGGGCTGTTAGCACTCGTCACCCAGCAACTCGGACGCCTCAGCAGCCTTTTCACAGCCACCTCCCTGGATGCCTCCCAATGCCTCCGCAGCCTTTTCATCTGAAGGAGCTGGGTTTTTCACTCCCTTATTATCGTATTCTGATCTAAGAAAATTACTGTTTGCTTCAATTATGAAAAAAGCCTTTTCTTCCCCCCTTTTTATGCTTAACTGATGAAGGCAGCATGAATAATTCAGGCTCAAATGTGAGCGCCTGATCCGTCAGGGAGCTGGCAAGCAATGCTTCAGGTTGCTTATAGAGAAGTTTGTGGCTCCCATGGCATGGCCACATAGCTACAGGTTGCATCGTGTGGCCTGCCTGTCACTTCATGCCAGGGGTGACTCACCGTGCCTTACCTTGAATTAAGCTGCAGAGTGGGGCTCTTCCCAGCCTGGGCAAGGCTTGCTCCTTACAATACTTTCCTTAACTTCAATTTAAGAAAAGTGGGGGTTCTGTGCATAGCCACAGAAGATCATTAAACAGGAAGATCGTCAAAAAAAAAATATTTCTGTGTATCAAAGGAGGAGGGAAAAATATAAAATGATACAGGGGAGTGATGGTGAATGAATTCACCATAAAAAAGTATAAAAAAAAAAATCCACGTGAAGCTCAGCCTGATGAGAGATGTGCTGCTAAGAAATACGTGTATTGCAGAAAATAGCATTGCTTTCTGGAGGAGAAACTAAAAAAAGCTATCAAGGTGTCTGAGTCTTTTCCAGCATTAAATAAGTTATATGGTTTAAAGACTGCATAATCACTCACACCGCTCTAACTGAAATACTGCAGTTCTGCTCTAAGTATTGGCAGAAGAAATCAGAGCTGGAGATATAAAAGGCTCTTGTCATTTCGGTGGCCAAATTAAAAAGAAATTGTTCTTGGTAAACAAACTTGGGCAGATGGGCTTTTCAAGCCCCAAATATTGTGATTCGCAACAAAAGGCCAAATCTATAATCTTTTAATGATCTTAGTGGTTAGGTTTTCATACCAATCTCGTTCCTCTGCTCTCCGTGGATTCACATCGGCACCATTCACGAGACCCGCACCTTTTTCTACTCTAAAAAGAGTTTATTTTGTAAAGGAAAACACCAAAATTAATGGAAATTTCAAAGTAGGACGGTGCCTGGCGATGGCTGAGAGCCATTTTGCAGCTTGTCCAACAAAGGCAAAGAGCACATGCTCTCCCGTTAGCCTGGTGAGGGCTCCTGGGCATTGCAACACTGGGAATAAAACAAGGCAATAAGTCTTTGAATACCAGTTTAGCACCCCAGTAAGGTTTCTTTAGGACGGGGAGAACTGGAGGGCAGTGTCCACATTTAATGACACCGGGGTGTCTGCACCTTGCCAGGACGTTTGTATAGTCATAATCATTTAACATTCTTCGATGATGGTTTTGGTTTGATATAAGCCTGGAGGGCGGGGTTTGCTCCACCTTGCCGCGGCTTTCGCCCCGCTCCGAATTCCCCGGCAGCCGACGCCGGGATGGATGCTCACCTCGGTGTTGTCTTTTGCAGACGTGCCGGTGGAGAAGCTGGCCTCCATGGCATCGCTGCAGAGCCTCAACCTGAGGGCAAACCCCGTCAGCCCCGAGGTCCGGCTGCTCGTCCGGCCCCTCGTCCCCTTCGACTTGCTGCTGTCACCGCAGGAGCCCGTCCCCAAAGCCTGAGGGGGTCTCGGGGTGCCTGGGCGAGCTCTCATGAGGGGTGACTGCCTGCGAGAGTGGTTTGGCTTAGGTCAGTCCCTGCTACGCCGCTGTTTCTGTCCCAAACCCACCACGAGGCAGCCAGTCCCTCGTTTTTTTCCTTAATAAAAAGCAAGCAGCGGGGCTCCTCTGGCAAAGGGATGGCCCTGCCAGCTCCTGAGCCAGGGAATCTCCTGCTTTGTGTTTTGCCAAGCGCTTGGGGAGGAAGCAGAGCCAGGAGGCGTGTGGTGCGAGGTTTGGGTAAAATTGGGGGAGTTGGATGCTTGGCTGCTGCATCCATCCTGCCTGGCCAGTGATGGGGAGCATCTGAGGCCCTGGTCCAGGGCCAGGATGGCGGGGGACATCCCTGTGCCCATAAGGGTTCCCCCTTGAACTGCTGCTATGGCGATGTGCCACATGCCCGATTAAAGGTTTTCCTGTTCTGTGTGAGGGTGGTTTTTTTGCATCTGCTAAATTTATGAGTTATGGGTTGTCTTCTCCTTAAATAAGCCCCTTTGCAGATCCCCATGGCAGCTCAGACTGATGCCTGCAGCTGGATTCTGCCCAGACCTGAGCAGTATTTCTCTGGATTTTCCCAGGGAATTTTTATTTTTTTTTTGTCCCGAGAAAGCCTTTTTTTCCCCATGGCTTTTCACCATGGAAATCAAAGCAACCCAGTGCCAGCAGGCCCTCACATGCTGCTCACCCCATGGGTGTCCCCAGCAGCGTGCACCCACCTCCTGGGTGCTGTGGGTCTTCAAGACATGCCACTTTCTCTCCCAGGAAGAAATGGGCTGTGGGGCTCAGGATACAGCCCAGGGAGGGTGGCTCCTTGGTGCCAGGGAGGCCACTGCTAGTCAGGTCCCTTGGCAGCTGGCTGCCTGCAAAAGATCTCCTGGGAGAAACCGCAGGCGTTATCTCAAAACTGCCTGGTTTAAATAATTCCCTGCGTTTGCTCCTGCGTGTTTTTAAGGGACAAACACTTCCCAGCGCTGGGGGCTGCTAGGAATGGAAGTATTTGACTTCTAGACTTGCCCAAACCCAACTTTGGTAAAAGAACCTTGGTAAGAAGGGGTTTGTTGATGTTGGTAATGACAGAGGAGATGGAGGGGAGCGGAGCAGATTTTGGGGAACGACCAGCACCCCCAAGGACCCCTTAGCCCCCGCCCTGCCACGCAGGTGATTTACACGGGGTGGAGGATGAGGGTCCTCCCCACTCGTGTCAGGGCTCCCAGCGTGTTTTCCATCCCGGGAGTGCTGCTGGGGACACCGGCCATCAGCTGGAGGAGAGAGAGGCACGAGTGCCAGCATCAGCGTGGGGACCTCGGGGGTGGCCGGGGGGGGACACCAAGCCCGACCCTCCCCAGGGACCAAACCTGCTCCAGCTCTCCCCCTTGCCCCACCCCCGCGGGCTGCTTCCCCCCCCCCCCCCCCCAAGGCGTGACGGGGGTGCGTGCGGGTACCCCGGTATCCATGGCGATGGGAGGCTGTCCCCCAGCCGTCGTCGTCGTCGTCGTTCCCCCCCCCCCCCCCGCCCCGCTCCGCTGCAGCCGGTGAGCAGCCGCAACCGGCGCGGCGGCACCGGCACCGCGGTACCGGCACCGGGGCTCAGCCCCGGGCGGTGGGGACCGGGGGAGGGACGGGGACAAACTCCCCCCCCCTCCCTCGGTACCATCTCCCCCCCCTCCCACCCGCCGCATGCCAGCGATGCACCCCCCGGAGCCGGGCCGGGCTGGCGGAGGTGAGTACCAAGACCTGATTTATTTCATTTTATCCCCCAAAAAAGGTGTACAGCACCCCCCCTCTCCCCCCCCGCCTTGCCCCCTCCGACCCCTATTCCATCAGACCAGCCTTTCCCTGCAGTGATTTCCCACAGCCGGGCAGGGGGTTGGGTGGTCCATTGCCCCCCCAGCTGGTGTCTCCCCCCCCAAGTCCCCCTTGTCACCGCATCCGAGATGTCAGCGTCAAACGGAGGGCACCTCCATCCCTCCACTACCAACCCGGGCACTCAGCTGCCCCTTTTTTTCCTTTCCTCATCTTCCACCTCCCTTTTGAGACCTCCCGTGATTCTTCATCCATAGGATACCCCCCCTCCCACCAATGCTGCAAGGCACCGCAGTCCAAAGAGACAAAAGTCCAGCAAAGTTTCAGGCTTAATATCGCAGGTTTCGGGCAATCTCATGACAGCCTTTGCCACCGCTTCTGCTAACGAAGCTGGCTCATGTGGGTGCACCTGATGCCAACTGGCCGGAGCATCTTGCCCCAGCAACCCTGATGCTTCCTTGCCTCTCCCAGAGGCTCCTTCTCCCATGCCAGTGCTGCAACTCCCCCCCAGCAACCCCCCAGCACCTTTCTGAAGCCCTGCTGGAAATGTGTCGGCCAAATCCTGTGCCCCAGGCAGGGGTATAGAGGCTGGGCAGGGCCTCCCTGGGTGCCAGAGCCTCAGGGATGCCGGTGGTCCCGGCGGCTGGGAAAAGCATCTCGGCTGGGGAGCTGAGCACAGGGATGGGGGATGATACGGCCGCCCACCATGCAGCAGCTTTGCAGTGCTTTCTTAGAGCACGGCTGACCTGCAGGCGGTTAGGTTGAGCCTTAAAGCAAAAATGTGCCTTTTCTTGCCATAAAATTGCAGCCTGGGATTTGCCTGGAGTGAGTCCCGTCGCCGCGGCGGGCAGCCCCTGCCTGCGCTCGGCATCCTCCCGCGTCCCTGCCTGCGTCAAGCTGGGGAAACCCGAGGGTGGATGCTGCACAGCCCCCCTCCCCCTGTTAAATCTGTAGCGACAAAACGCCATCCCCCCCGCCTCCATCAGAAGCTCTCAGGATCCTGGATAATGATCATCATTACGTATAATTATCGTTTTATATGTAAGGGGAAGGCAAGGTCTCCTCTGCCCCAGCCCATCTCCTTTGGGTACTTTGGCTTTTCCGGGGAGAAGATTTCAGGGGATCTCAAATTGCAAACCTCGAGCGCAAGGAGAAGCAGCAGCAGAGACCTGGGAGCAGGGATGCTCCAAGGCCGGCCGTGCCGGGGACCACACGGTTACGGCTCCTGCACTGCCGGGGTGTTGCAGTGTCAGGACGTGGATTTCTCTTCCTCACATCACCGCTAAAAAAAAAATCTCACAGGGACAGGCTGTCTTCTGGGCTGCTTTAAATCCTCATCCAAATAATGATAGAAAATAATAACAATATAAAATAATAATGATATAAAACAATTCAGCTGAGGTGCTGCAGTACCTTGGGCTGCATAACCCAAGGAGGAGGAGACCTGTTGGGACACTGAGATGATCCCAGTAGGACACGCCCCAGCCAGGCTGGGCACTGGTATAAATATGAAAGCCCACCCCTCCGAGGGCATGAAGAAATTAAGGGAATAACCGCTTTATCCTCTCCCAGCTTCATTTGCCTGTCTTCCCTTCCCCAGGCCCTTCCAACAGCACCTGGCCCAACTCTACCACAAGCGAGAGCCACCTCCTGAGGGAGAACTACACCTTCTCGGCATACTACCAGCACTCCTCCCCCGTGGCTGCCATGTTCATCCTGGCCTACACCTTCATCTTCCTCATGTGCATGATCGGCAACATGCTGGTGTGCTTCATCGTGGTGAAGAACCGCCAGATGCGAACAGTCACCAACATGTTCATCCTCAACCTGGCCATCAGCGACCTGCTGGTGGGCATCTTCTGCATGCCCACCACCTTGGTGGACAACCTCATCACGGGTGAGCGGGGCAGTGGAAGGGCGAGACACAGGGGAGGGGAGAAAGTAGTGGGGAACATCACCCAACTTCTACCCCCAACATGAGGCCACCCCATGGGTGGTTTTTTTGCTGAGGATGAGGAGGGCAGACGGTAGCCATTCAACACCTGATGAAAGGTTTAGTTTCATTTAGAGCTACAATTTTAGGGGGAAGAAACATCCTTTTCTTTTTGAGGTTTTGGACATTTTTGGCAAAATAAGTATGACCTTAACGCTCCATTTACATATTTATTTAAACTTCAGCCATTCTCCATCAAGCAACACTAAAAAAAATCTTCCTCTTCTTGCATCGATCTTCTCCCACGCTGGCTCAGCTCTGCCCATTGACCTTTCCAAAGATAAAAGGCGACATTGGCGCAGTTGGTGGAGTTTAGCCACAGCGGTAGCCAGGGCACGGGACAGAGTCTGTATTTATTACAGGGTATGATTTATTTATCGCCAACACCCTCGCATTGGGGTCAAGAAACAAGACGAAATCCCTTCTGATTGAGGGTTCCAAGGTCGGTCCCCGCAATAACAGCTCAAGCCCTACGCGAGGGTAAGAGAAATGACAACCACCAGGCTCCTTGAGTTTTTAAGAAGTGCACTATGCATCTTTTTTACTGATCTTTCTCCAAGAATCTGTACTGCTTGGATCTGTCAGGCCACCTCTATGTGAGCCAAAAACACAGCCCCCCCCCCCCCCCCCCCCCCTTAGGAATAGGATTTAGCATCCCCCAGCAGTGACGTGGTGGATGGGGACATCTAGAGGGAGCTGCTGATGGACCCAGCTGAGCCAAAGGCACCTACAACCTCCGTGGTCTCCCCTGGCAGGTTGGCCCTTTGACAACACCATGTGCAAAATGAGCGGCCTGGTGCAGGGCATGTCTGTCTCTGCCTCCATTTTCACGCTGGTGGCCATCGCTGTGGAGAGGTAGGTCGGCGCGGGCATGTGGGGACATGGGGACAAAGCCACCCCCAGCGTGTTCCGGTGTCCCGTGCAGCGTCCATCGTGGGAAAGCTCCTGGGGACGCCAGTGGCGTGTCCCAGTTCTCCAGGAGAACCACAAAGCTGTCCATGGGGCATCCCAGCAAGGTGTCCTTCCCCACCCTGGGCTGAAAACACCAAAGCTGGAGAGATCCCAAACTGTCTTTGAGACCAAAAGCCAGATGTAGAGTAACCCACCTCACCCTCCCTTCCCACACACGCGTCCTAGCCGCCCTCCTTCCCCAGGGTTGTCCCACCAGCTGCCCAAAGCCACCACCATCTGCCCTCCCGCAGGTTTCGCTGTATTGTCTACCCCTTCCGGCAGAAGCTGACGCTGAGGAAAGCCCTGGTGACCATTGCCATCATCTGGGTGCTGGCCCTGCTCATCATGTGCCCTGCTGCCATCACCCTGACCGTCACCAGAGAGGAGCACCACTTCATGGTGGACACCTACAACAACTCCTACCCCCTCTACTCCTGTTGGGAGGCCTGGCCCGAGACGGGGATGAGGAGGATCTACACCACCGTCCTCTTCTCCCACATCTACGTGGCCCCCCTTGCCCTCATCGTCGTCATGTACGCCCGCATCGCCTTCAAGCTCTTCAAGTCAGCGGCGCCTGCCCACGGCCAAGAGGAGCCGGAGGGGAGGAGGGTCTCCCGGAGGAAGGCCAAGGTCATCAACATGCTCATCATCGTCGCCCTCTTCTTCACCCTCTCCTGGCTGCCCCTCTGGACACTGATGCTGCTGATGGACTACGGGCGGCTGAGCGAGGGCCAGCTCCGCCTGGTCACCGTCTACGTCTTCCCCTTCGCCCACTGGTTGGCTTTCTTCAACAGCAGCGCCAACCCCATCATCTACGGCTACTTCAACGAGAACTTCCGACGGGGTTTCCAGGAGGCCTTCAGGGCCCCTTTCTGCTCGCCCCACCGTCCCCGCCACCGCCCCCGTGGGCCCTACACCCCCAGGAGCCACGGCCGTGGGATCTTCTTCTTCGCCCCGCGCAACCGCGTCTTCGCCCAGGCCCGGGCCAGCGACTCGCCGCCCGCCTCCGAGTCCGGGCCGCTGGCTCCACGCCACGCCGGCGTCCCCGCGTGGGACGGCTGAGCGGCCGCCTCCGGACCCACGGGGCGCGCGGGGTGGGGGAGCGAAGGGGGGAATCCACCAAAATAAACGGCGCGTCCTTGCCGGCGCCGCGTCCTTGTCTTGGCTCTTCCCACGGCGGCGCCCGTCACGGGTGGGGGGCCCCCCCCCTTTTTTACCCCGCACCCGCCCCGCGCGACGCTTGCCCACCCCACGGAGAATCACGCAGTCCTTTGGCGGACCGCGCCGCCATGCCGTGCCAACCTGGCGGGCTAGCCGCCCCCCTTGCCGCGATAGCCACGCCGCGTGCCGCGTTCCCCAGTGGGCTTGGCGCCTGCGCAGTGCGGCGCAGGGAGGAAAGGGGGGGGCCGGGGAGGGGGGGGGGGGAGGCGTGTGTCGCGCCGCGCCTGCGCAGTGCGGCGGGCGGCGGGCTGAGCGCGGCGGCGATGGCCGGCTACAGCGTGGAGGAGCGAGCCGCCCCTCACAGCCTGGAGTACCGGCTCTTCTTCAGTGAGTGCGCGCCTCCTTCCTTCTCCTTTTTATTCCCCCTTCATCCTCCTGGTTTTCGGGGGTTCAGCTCCGAAGGAGGCGCGGGGGCAGCGCCCCCCCCTCAGCCCCCCACCCCCCCCCCCCCCACCCGCGGCCTGAAGGTGTGAGTCCCCTCACCTGAGGGGTTCCCCTCAGGCAGGGCCTGACTCGCCCTCCTTGCCTTGCAGAGGACGCCGCCGGGCGTTACATCTCCCCTTTTCACGATATCCCCATCTACGCAGACGCTGGCAAGGTAAGAGGGGCCGGCTGCCTTGTGTTGAGGGGGGGGGGGGGGGCACACAGGCATCTCCAAGGCAGGTAGCCGGGGGGGGGACTTGTTGGCTGGGAGACGGTGACAAGAGCAACCCCTGGAGCTCTGGGGGGTGAGCGTTTTGTCAGCCCTCCTCGGGGAGTGCATTCCCGAAACTCCCAAGAGAGGGGCTCCTTATGCCGCTTTTCAGCGGGAGCATCCTGACGGGAGCTTTGGCAAAAAGCGGGTGCGCTTTTCTCGAGACCTCCGAGCGACGTATGCGGAGAGGGTGGGTGATCTCATTCTCATGTTCACCTCTGAGGTATGGGTGGTTGTCTTGAACTTGGCCATGCGGCGCCACGGAGACGTTTTGGGTTAAAAGAAGCAGTTTTTACGTTTCGCTAAATGTCTACACTCACTCCCATTAGGGTACACGCTTAGGCTGCGTGATATTTCAGGCTTGGGTTTTAACTGCAGTAAGGCCATGTTATGCCTGCTGTATAATCAGAAGGTGAGGATGTTAAATTCTTGCTGTAGCAGCTCCTGGGGACCTCTTGCCTCCCAAAAAGTGCGGGTGGGGAACCTGCCGCATGTGGTGATGCAGGGCTTTTCCATCCTTCCGGCAGCCAGCAGTTAGGCAAATGAGGCTGCTCTGAAACGCCCCAGCTCTAGGAAATGAGAACGGCAGCGCTTCAGTTTGCACTGAATGCTTTTTCAGTGGTAACTCGGGCTCTCTGACTGCGTTCCTTGCCTCTGAGGCTCCTCTCTTCTTTTAACACGTACTAAAAAGCTGTGCAGCTTGAGAAACACAGTGGATGAACTGTTCTAATGCTCATGATAGAGAGGTGAAAGTGGGAGTTAGAGAGTGGTTATGGGAAAGGAAAAGAGTACGCGGAATTGAGAGATGAAGCTCTAAGAAGTAAGTAGCTGATTGAACTCTGAGGTGCAGGCGTTGTCAGAATACTCTCTGGGAAGTCTAAGGTGGCTTTTGCCTGCTCAGAAGGGGAAAAAATGGATTGTAATTGTCGCGGACGTTGGCGAAACAGTTTCTGTGGCCAGCTGGGAAAGCAGTTTTCAAAGGCAGGTGTCTGAAAGGTAGCTCGGGCAAGGAAAATCCAGATAATACTATGCTTTGCTCATAAAGCAGGGGAGTGTATAGGGGTGAGGAGGGTTTCTGCGGACTGGTAATGATTAACAAGGGAAACTGGACTACTGGTGTGCCTTCAGGCGCTGAGTGCCGCTTGCCAGCGTCTCTCTGTGCCAAGTCATTAAAAGAAGCAAGTGCCGCTGAAGGTTGCAGTCCCTGAAGTTACACAATGGTGCTGATCACATTAGACCTCCTTCTGTTGCTGGAGTGCCTCTCTGCAGAGATTTTTACTCGTTAGCAGGTTCATTACCAGCTACAATAGGGAGCCCAGCTTGGTGCAAAAGGTGGTCTTACTCTGTCTGGGCTCCTTGATCTTTATCCTTAGACCTCTAAGACACTGAGAGGATTGCAGGGTGTTTTTTTCAGTCTAGGTCTGGGATGTGCTGACCTTATGTGTACCTGCGTGTCTTGGCATTGCGAAGGAATGACCTTGGGCTACTCGTTGGGTGTCTTAGACCAAGGCAGATCTGTGAGTTGGACTGTGAGGAAACTGCGAACCTAACAAAGATGCACCCCCAAGTCATCTTTCCTTGCCTGCAAAGCTGTAAGCGCCCTGCCTAACCAGTTTTGATTACCTCTCTCCTTTCCCCAAGTTACTTATAAATAAAAATGGTATATACCTATTTACATACAAATTGCAAAAGAGCCATGAGCCCCTGCAATTAAGGGGACCTCATAAACTTCTGTTAGGGAAGGGTGTGGGCAAAGTCAATGATGTAACAGCACTCATTGCACAATTGCAATCTAATTATGGCGCAATACAGGTGCAATGGATTTTGCAAGGCTAATACTGCTTAATGTGGGGATTAGAAACCTTGTCGATGCTAGGTAGCAAGGTTTGACTTTTTATTAAAAGCCATAATCTCTTCAAACAGCAAATGTTAAGGTTTAGGCATGAAAAGCTTGTTTTCTTGAAGAAGAGACTGACATTGAACTCTCAAGAGTCCTCTCAGCCCAGCTGGAGTCAACAGGAGATGTTTTCAAACGTCACCTGTAAACCAGACACTGCAAGATGTGGTTCTACATTTCTCCCCCACATCTTTATCCTTGTACCATGCCGCTAACAAGGTCTGCTTTTATAGGAAGGTCAGCGTGGAGAGTGGGAGCTCAGGCATCTTTCCCTACTTCAAGACAGACATTTGAGTGTGATGTTCTTTGTCGTTCAGGATAGTACATACTTAATCCTGTAAGCCTTGTCTCTTCTAAATTGCCAGGGTGGCTCTTGCTGTAACATTAAGTGCTTCCTATTTAATAAATATGCCTAAAACCTCATTTTGTTATGCCCCGGATAAATTGTATGCAGCTGTCTTTGGTTCATTTAAACCTACTGTTCTGTAACCTAGGAACGTGATGGAGGTGTTCGTAGGTGGCAACTGGTGGAGCACGCCTGGATAACCTGAATCTGGCTTTTGCTGGTGTCTTTCATGGGATTCAACTTTGTGCAATGACGTGTGACTGACTGGACTGTGAGATTTTCTCTCAACTGTAGCAAAACTGGCACTGGGGAAAAAACAAACAAACAAACAAACAAAAAAAAAAACCCAAAAACCAAACAAACAAAAAAAAAAAAAAAGAAAAAAAAGTTACAGCTTCCTTGTGAACTGGCTGGCTTTTGTGCTTACTTATACTTGTTCCTTCGTTTAAAGTGTGGTCTTGAGATTCCTTCCCATTCACTGATATTTTGTTTTCTTCAGAATGTGTTCAACATGGTTGTGGAAGTACCTCGATGGACAAACGCTAAAATGGAGGTAACTATTACAGTTCCTAGCTTAAGTGCTTGAGCTGACTAGTCTGTTAATCTTTGGCTTTGCTGATCCTCTCCCCCTCACCTCCACATCCTGAAGCAAGAGTTGTCTAACTTCGGTGGCTCCATAAATGGCAAGTAAATAATTCAGCCCCAATAAAAAAGGCCTTTCAAAACCTGCCATGCTGCGGGCATCACGTCAAGGAAGCTCTCTAGATGTAGTTCTTACTTCTCATGTACATACTCTCTTAATGCTAGAAGTCTAGCATGGAGGCTGAGACTTGCAGAAGCTGCAATAACTTAGTATTCTTCTGTGGCTTCTGGTTAAAGCAGCATCTCATGGCGCTCAACCCCGTGTGCTTCTGACGTTTGTAAGTCTGCTGAAAACTATATCCCAGGAGGTGGCAATGCAGCGGGAAGTGGAGTTGTCCAGTGTCTGCTGTTGGCCTCGGGTTCAGCTCTGGGTCTCTTGGCTTGTCAGTTAGCAGTCAGCTTCATTTATTAAAAAAAAAAGAAAAAAGAAAAAAGAAAAAAGAAAAATCAATCGCTTGTTTTTTCTTAGAGAGCAAAGTAGAAAGATTTATGTAATTTTTCTTTCAGATTGCAACAAAGGATCCCTTAAACCCAATTAAGCAAGATGTGAAGAAGGGAAAACTGCGCTTTGTAGCTAATGTGTTTCCTCACAAGGGTTATATCTGGAATTACGGTGCTATCCCACAGGTACTGTAACTTGTTTTGGTGGCTCATCCTTGCTGGTGGGGAGGAGGGAGGATGCCTATGTGTGTCTCTGCCTACCACCAAATTAATGAGCAAGGTCAGCTGAAAGGCTGATCTGGAACACAGCATTTGCAGCTGCATGTGTAATCTTGCTAATAAAGAGAACCTGTCAAGAAAGCAGGGATACTTGTAAGTAGAAATTTCAAGAAGTAGGCTTGTAGCTAATGCTGTAAACAAACTACTGGAAAATTTGAGGATGAACAACTGCTGTTAGTGAGGTATCTGCTCTGTCCCTCCTTGGCCACTTGGCAGTTCAGTTGGACAGCAGCTGGCCTGTAGACTGAATCTTTACAGGAGATTCTTGTTGCAGTGAATTAGTTGATCGTTTTAGGCTTTGGCTGTGGACAATGAAAATCTGAATAGATCTAAAGACTTTGTCTTTTGTGTTTCTGCCCCCATTTTAGACCCTCTTCAGGGTCTAAAACACAGAGCTAGACTAATGTATTGACCTGTTGGATGGCAGCTGATGCGCTGATCTCGGGGTTGGATCTGAGAAAGGTACTCGGTGGTCCAGAGCCTGCATGAGGCAGAGACATCCACAGCTGCACAGACAGGCTTTCTCTGAAACAAGGGGGGACAAGCAGAAGGTGACACCTGGACACACGCTCTTAACTGGCTGGTGGCTGCTAGATATGAAGAGGAGCTTTGAGCAAGGCTGTTTGCCTCTGTTCTCCGAGGTTTGAGTTTTCTTTAGAAGAAGAAATGGTCAGTGACAGGTCACAGGGAAACACGCTGAATTTTGTAATTCTAGTCTTGATAGTAGTGCACGACGAGTGTTTTCTCCAAGTGGCTTCAGACAGTGTTTCGAAGTTGAATTGTTTTCTACTGGGATGGATTCTGGAGGCAGTTTCTTTGTACAGGATTATGGCTTTTTGAAGCCTTCACTCGGTCATGTGTTAGTGGATCAAAGATGTTTATGTGTCAAGGGCAAGGGATCGAACTTAACCCTTCCTGGCAGAGAAGCGTGATAGCCACTGTGAAGAGTCCTTCAGCACCACCCAGGTTGCAGTACATCTTCCTGAAAGCTCTGGATGCATCATGAGGTCTTGACTGTACTGGTTGTGTCCTGGCACGCAGAGATTTGGGAAGAGCATTCCTTCTTTTTACATCTCAATAACCTTAGAGGTAGGCGCTCCTTATGGTGCAAGTGGGCATGGTGTCCTTTCGCTCCTGATCAGAAGCGTGTTTTAAGCAGCTGTTATTTTTGGAGACTTCTAGGGTCCTGTCTTCTGACTTAAAACTCACTGCTGTAGAGGAGATGCACTGGGACACTGGGTAGCAGAGGGTAGGGGACTCTGCATTCTTGTCATTGCTCTAGTGGAACAATGTGTCTTTAATTGTTTAGTTAAAAGGAAACAATACACCCTGTCTGTCTCCCATCTCTATTGGACTGCTATCTCGAGTTCAGGAAACTTCTGTTAAGAAATGAATAGGGAGAGGAAAAGGCAGGCAGCCAAATCAATGATAGCTCTTTATAGATGTGAACTTCGCCTTTATGCAGCTATAGAGCGGAGGAGGAAGTCTGGAAAGTTGTTGAAAAAAGGTTTGTCGGTGGGAGGAAGCAGTTTACCCTTGGCACGATAAGACATTTTAACTTGGATTCAAACTGCGTTTGTAGGCACAAGTGAAACAGTAGCCCAGCCACTAGACCTGAAAGCAAGTGTGAAGTGGGCCATCATCTGTGTATTGGAGGCAACTGCATGCCTGAAATAAACCTGCTTTTTGTTTCCTCTTGAAATATGAGTGTTCTTATTCCTGTGTGTGTTGTTTTGGGTTTTTTTTTTTTGCAGACTTGGGAAGACCCAGGTCACAAAGATGAGAACACGGGCTGCTGTGGAGATAACGATCCAATTGATGTGTGCGAAATTGGAAGTAAGGTAATGTACTCTAACAGATAACTGTCTTTTGAAAGATGTAATTAGTCAGTTATCCAGAGGCGTTACTCAGTTCCTACCTCCTCTGCCTTAAGAGTACGATGTTTCCTTCTGCTGCCTCTGGAGGTGGTTGATGAGATCGTACAGCGCGAGCCTTGTGAGCCAAGGCCTGTGAAGCGATGAGGAGCGATAGCTGGTTTTGTGGTACCCGACTGCTCGCTGAACTCTCACAGCTCGCACAGTCTCCTGTGGTGCATTCCTTGGGTGCATCAGTACGGACAACAAGGTCTTTGTCCTTGCAGGTCTGCTCCCGAGGAGAAGTCATCAAAGTGAAGGTGCTGGGCACACTGGCACTGATTGATGAGGGAGAGACAGACTGGAAGATAATTGCTATCAACGTTGAAGACCCTGAAGCAGGCAACTATAATGGTAGGTAACAGGAGGGAGGAGCAAGCCTAGTACTTCCCTTTCTCTGTTGAGAGCCTGCAGGAAACTTTCAAGTCAGGACATGGGCTTGCACCTTCTGTGCCACGGTATTAATCAGATGTGATACTAGAACAGCAGAACAGGATGTTACCAGTCTTGCAGCAAAACATTTTACTGCCATTTATCCCAAAATGTCAGTCCTCTGCACAGCCTGGCATCTCAAAGAAGAGGGTGGCTGTACAGCCTGTCCTCCAAGTGGAAGGAAGGAGATTGTCCAGTAAGTCTTCAATCAAAGCTGTTTAAATGGGTCCATGCTCCTGGGGGCAGTCAGGATATATTGTGAAGTTGAAACACTAACTTTCCTGTGCAGATACCCACTTTGTGTCTTAGCAACATTTCAGACAGGTTACAGTAAAGACTACTTGAGGAGGGGCTGAAAGAGGGACACCTCAGAAGAGCAGGGTAGTAGCTAAGAAACTTCTGTTGCTAGATCCAGCTGACAAACCTTTTCTCCCTGGCTAGATATCAGTGATGTCAGAAGGATGAAACCTGGATACTTAGAAGCTACAGTGGACTGGTTCAGAAGATACAAAGTACCTGATGGAAAGCCAGAAAATCAGTTTGCTTTTAATGGTGAATTTAAAGACAAGGTAGGATAGCCTTTCTTCATTAGAGAGATAAAGAAGCATCATCCCGCTCTAGTCGGTTCTTGTTGAGGCCACACCTGGAGTACTGTGTTCAGTTTTGGTCCCCGCTATACAAAAAAACACGTAGACAGGCTGGAGAGGTCCCAGAGGAGGGCCACAGAGATGATCAAGGCACTGGGAAGCTGCCATACGAGGAAAAGGCGAGAATTGGGTTTGTTCAGCCTTGAGAAGAAAAAGCTTAGGGGAGACCTTATGTTCCAATATTTAAAGGTTGGCTCCAAAGAAGATGGAGGCTCCCTTTTTACAAGGAGTCATGTGGAAAAGACGAAGGGTAATGGGTACAGGCTACTGCTAGGGAGATTACGGTTGTTCTCATTGTGAAAAATTTTAATTTTGTGTCCAATCAGCCCCGGATATAATCTCCCCAAGGAAGTGGTGGGTTCCCCAACACTGGATGCTTTTAAGATTCAGCTGGACATGGCGCTGGGCTGTCTTGTTTAGATTCTGCTTTTGCCAAGAACGGTTGGACTAGATGATCCTTGAGGTGCCTTCCAACCTGGTATTTTATGATTACTGTGAGCATGCAAAGGCACACTGTCCAAAAACTGAGCTCAAGGTGCATGGGGACACGAATAAGTAGTCACTGAGCGAATGGATTTCTGCGTGGCTGCTGATAGCTGACTTCATTCTTCCTGCTGTTTTTCCAGCCTGTCATTCATCTTGTTTCCAGCCCAGTGCTTGCAGGAATACTAGGAGAAAAAGCATAGGTTTATCACGCTGCTGTGGTTGGGTATTATCAGTCTTTCTTCTAGATGACATTCCTGTGGGATCGTGTCGGGGCTGGGAGCCTCTGTGTCAGAACCAGGATGGAAACCACCAGGTTTATGCACTCCTGCTCTGGAGCAGAAGGTGCTTGACATCACCCTTTGCCTGCCTTGCTCCCTGACTTTGTTCAGCTGCAGCCTGGTGGAAATTGAAGTTAACTCAGGGGTTAAAAATGCTTCTTCCTTCAGGCATAAAGTGTTCCCTCACACCCTTTGAGTAAGGCTCTGCCTTGGCAGCATTATTTTTCAGCCTCTTCTCCGGGTTGGGTCAGTTAACTTGCCTGCTCCTGAATGGGTGAAATCCTGCTTCTGCACCCTCCCTCCTGCCAGTCCTGGGGTACTGTGAGTGGGTCAGTGAGGTGACTCAACTCGCAGAGCTCCAGAGTTGGTGTGGAGAAGGGGAGGGCCTGCAGAGCCTGCTGTGGGAGGGAAAGGGTAAGGGGAGCCAAAATGGAAGTCACGGGGGAGTGGACTTATCCCCTGCAGCTGTAGCACAGTGGTAGGTTGGGTGGGCTGGGACATCTCGCTGCCCCTCAGGATGGGTGAAACTGGAATCAAGGCCAAGGCGGAAAACAGGGACAAAGAACCTCGCGCGTGTTCCTGCCGTGTTTTATTTGGCTCCGTGTTGTATCAAACCAGGATATTTATTGCTGGTGTTCATGCTAACAAAGAATTGTGTGTGCTTCCTTCTTCAGCTGACAGGTTAATGCTTGAGTATATACTACCACTACTACTTCTTTTTTTTTTTTTTTTGGTAAGGGAAAAAAAAAACAGGCTTGGAAGCAGATTAATTTGTAAATAGTTGCAAAGCTAGCTTAGGTGTGTGTCTCTTCCTGTTGATCTGTGCCACAGTGGAAGGATTTGCCTGGAGTGGCAGAAAGCTCGCAGACAGGTTGGGATCAGCTAGCTGCTGGAGACAAAGCGAGGGCAGCAGGCTGGAGGCGCTTTTGTATTCCAGCGCTGCCTCGAGACTAGAATATCTGCATTCGGTTTCTTTTGGCCTCAAGCTCACTAGGTGACCTTGGCGCATCCTCCCATCTTGAAAGGAAAACAATTCGTATTGTAAAATCCCCGTTGTTTCAGCTGTTGTGCGCTGGGAGGTTGCTGTTGTTCCTGAGCGGGACAGTGATGGAAGAGGCCTCTGAGTCCAGTCTCAGAAACTATCTGCAATCAGCCTATAAAGCCTGGCCTCTTGTTCCAGGTAACTGATAGTCTGGAGAGGGTGGTCTAGTGCTTACGTGTAACACGATGTTTGTTCTCATCTTCAACTTTAGGATTTTGCTCTGGATGTCATCAAATGTACTCATGAACACTGGAAAGCTTTAATAGCAAAGAAAACTGACGGAGGGGAGATCAGCTGGTAGGTTTGTGGTCCTGTGCATGTTACTTTCCCCTAAACAAATAACCCTGAAATTTCCTTTCTTGAGTGGTGCCATGCTTCTTGTGAGCTGCTGGCTGTCTCTGCAGGCCCTCCCCTTCAACTTTGCAACTACAACAATGATTCTTAATATTCCATTATTGTATTCCCCCACACACTCTTGCGGGGGGGGGGGGACTTGGCTTTCACGTTCTCACAAGCAACCTGTCTCTTCTAGCACAAACCTGACAGTGTCCGACAGCCCTTTCTGCTGTAGTCAAGACTGTGCAAAAGCTACTGTGGATGCAGTAAGTACAAATTTGAGTGAACTAACCCCAGCATTAGTATTAGGCAAAACGATACGATTCATGTGGTACCACAAATTGTCCTCTCTGAGTAGCACATTGTATGCTCAGGATTCTTTGGACAACTGAACACAGCGCCTGTTTCTGGTTAAATAGGATGGATGTGGAGCAAGCCAGACGTTCCTCCAGAGGCTTCTCCTTGCCCTTAATCATCTGGGAGATGACATCCAAAACAGAGTTTGCGTGAAGGGCTAAACTTCTGAACCGTAACTTGGCTGTCAGCTGTTCAGAGAGAGTTTAAATATTTGGCCTTCCAAGAGCTTCACAGTCCGGGTCACCCACCCTTTGAGAAAAGAAAGTCTAATTTCTGAGAGCCTTGCAGGCAGGGACCGTGCATCCTTTGCAATGAAAGGCTTGAAGTTCCCACTGTAGTACTCCCATCTGGTTTTGGGGCTTAACTGCATCTCTCTAGGCTTGTGAAGTACTGCTGTTGGCAACTTGAAAGGGGGTTAGAGCAGCGGGACAGAAAAGTCAAAATGCAAATGTTGCCTCAGCGTATGGAAATGTGAGCGGAAACCAGAGTCTCTCTGTAGCCTTGGAGAGACTTTTAAAACCATTGGTCTCGGTTTTAAAAGTGCTCGTTTCCTCTGGTGGTATCCGAATTACTTTTTAGGTTTTTTGGAAGCGCAACCCTGGCGGAGGATGTGACAGCAGCCAGGGACCCTTGTCTGTCTGTGGTTGTTAAATACCAGGCGAAAGCTCTTCAGAGAAGTCTTCTGAGAATCCTTTTATGTTCATTCCACCATCACATTGTAGGTTTTTTTAAAAAAAAAAAAAAAAAAAAAGGCAGGCTGCCTGCGGCTGTATAGCTGCTGGAGCGGTAACTGCTGCTGGTGAGAAGCAGGTGGCACTGCAGCCTGTGCTTAGAGCAGAGCACATCCAGCACGTAGGACATCCACGGCACGAGGAGGCTGTGGGGAGGACAGGACTCGTGCTGCACCTGAGCTTGTTACTCCCTCACAGCTGACCAGCACCGCCTGCCACAGACCAGTTTACCCTGCTTAGATCTTAAACTGTGCTCAGGAAAGTCTTGTGCGGCGTTAAAGACTGTCTAGTGAGCTTCAGGTGTAAGGTCAACCTCCGCCGACAGCTGCTCTCTGCTAACATGCTTCTCGTTGCAGGCACCACCGTGTAAAGCTGCCAACCCGATCCCCCCCGAAGGTGAGTCTCAACACCCACGTTTACGTCCCAATACTGAGTGGAGGCTTCCTCAAAGGAATTATCAACAAGAAAATGAGGGTCTTAACCGATGGCTAGGCGTGGCTCTAGCTCTAGGAGAAACCAAGGACTTAACTTGCGTCAGTTTAATTCCCGAGCAATGTCTGTTGTTGCCTTACTTCCTTGTTTGGGTAAGTGAGGTGGGTAATGAGCAGTAAGTAGGGACCTGCAGTGCCGTGGCTTGCTCCAGAAGAGATTAGATTTGCAGCAGGTCCTGAAAGAAGAGCGCTGCAGAGGACTGAAGTGATGGCAGGGGAGCGGTTTCATTAGTTCCCGCGAAACGGGTTTCATCAGGACCCTCCGTGCAGGCGAGCCGAGGAAGGGCAGTGCTTCCTACCCGCACAGAGCAGAGGCAGAAATCAGTTGTGCATTTGGTGCTTCAGTTGCAGCTGAACCCACTGATCAAGTGGCCACTGCGAGCTGGTAAGGAGCCTCTTTCTGCCTGGGGAGGGTGGCCCTGTGAGACAACAGTGGCTGAAGGAGGAGCCCTCACTCCGCTGTCGTCTTTCCCTTCCGTGCGAGGTGGCGGTGGGCGCCTTGCACGTGAAATCTGAGCGTTGTTGCCGCAGCAGGGACGGGACCCGAGGGTGAGCTAATGGTGTTGAGAGCCCACAGGCAGAAAGAGGAGCTAGGCTGTTGTTTCCGAGCTCTGCCTGCGTAATAAATCTGTGAAGGAACTGATGTCTCTTCCGTGCAGACACGGGAGCTGGAGGTAAAGCGCCTTTACCTCCGAGTCAGCTGAGCCAGAGGGAAGCCGAGCAAGCTCTGGCTTGCTGTCCTTGCCCAAACTGAGTCATGCTCCTAATGGCAGCCTGAGCGGGGGTGACTTCTTCAGGAAAACACGCAAACAGGGCTCTGCAAGAACCTGTTTGCTGTGTGGTGGTGGTGTTGACGGGAGCCGGAGGAAGCCCCTGTGCTGGGGGTGATGCCTGCAGTGCCCTGTGACTACTTAGTAAGCGGGTGGCTAACAAAGGAGTAACACCCCCCCCCCCCTTTTTTTTTTTTCCTGCTCCACACAGTTGACAAGTGGTTCTACTACCAGAAAAACTAAGGCCTGAGGCTGGGGGGGCAAGACAGCTGTGTCACCGAGGAGTCGCCACACACAGGAATAGAGCAGAAAAATAGCTTCAGTGTCAACAAGACGACCTTGCCTGTAACTTTGTCGATTAGAATTAACACACCTAGCAGCGACGCGTCTGCTGCATCGAGGTCTTGTGGAGACTGGAAGATGTAATTTATACAATCCAGACATCCTGCTTGTGCATGGTCATAGCGTGTACTTTGTAAATCGCGACGGAAGATCACCCACCTGGTACGTGTATGGATGCTAGAAATAAAAACTACTGACACGGAACGCTGCCGGCCTCCTCCTCCTTCCCCTCCCTGTGACGAAGCCCAGGGGTCCGTGCAGGGTTGTTTTGGGGGGAGGATTTCTCGGGGAACGCGGCGGCGTGTCCCTTCGCTCGGGGACGGTGGGTTGTGGCGGCGGGGGGGCCGGTCTCGAACCCGCGTCCTACGGGGCGGCACTGCCCCCCGAACCCCGCGTCGGCCGCGCGCCGGCGTGGCGTCAGGCGCGCGGCTGACGTGGAGGAGCCAGCGCGGCGCAGCCGCCGGGCCGGAAGGCGGTGGGGGTGTGACGTATTTCCGGCGGGGAGCTGGCGGCTGCCGAGGAGGGAGGGGGGCAGGCGGCGGCCCGGGGGCAGCCGGGGGTGAGCGGGGCGGGGGTGTGGGGCGGCCGGGTCCCGAGGTGGGGTGGGGGGACACGGGAGGAAGTGGGGGGCAGGCGAGCCCCGGCGCTTCTAACCTCGCGTTTCGGGTTTGGCCCCCCGCAGGTGGTCAGTCTTCAGCCATGTCTTTCATCTTCGAGTGGCTCTACAACGGCTTCAGCAGCGTGCTGCAGTTTCTAGGTAATGCCGCCTCACGGCCGGCTCCGCGGGTGGGTGGGTGGGTGTGGGTGTGGGTGTGTGTGGAGCAAAGCTCCCCCCTGCCAGAGCCGGGAATCCCGGTGGAGATCCGTGCTGCGGGACGGGGTGCTCTCCCTTCGGGAGGAGAAAAAGCCCTGTTGGAAACCAAAGAGAACTTCCCTGGGGCTGGTGCATACCTGAAAGTTAGTGGGGGGGAGGGAAATCAGGTTTATATAAAGAAAATGATGTGTTGTTTCACACTTTGCGCTTTTTCTTCAACAGCTTGCTGCTGTCTTTTATCAGTTTATTCAATTTTTGCACTGAAATACCCCTTTGGGGCGACAGATTGATCCTTAACCCGTTTGCGCAAAAGTAAACCTTGGCTGCACGCTCTTCTGCCAGGATGCATCCGAGGAAAAAAAAATTACTCATAGAAATCCGAGCTTAGAAAATGTCCGTAGTCATAGACGTGACCTTGCGTCGCCATGGTAAAAGCTGGTTCAAGCTGTACTTTTTATTTTTCCCCCCCTGCTCTGTGTCTGTGCTGGAATTGCTGTACGTGCCCGGGCGGCAGCACGGCTCTGGGCAAGGGGTTCGTACAGAAACAACCACAGTCGCTGCCGTTCTGCTCCCGTGCCGAGAGAAGCCTGCTGGAGTTTTTCCTCCTTGTTTATTTTTATTTTTCTTCCCAGGTTTGTACAAAAAGTCTGGAAAACTTGTGTTCCTGGGCTTGGATAACGCAGGCAAAACCACTCTGCTGCACATGCTCAAAGATGACAGGCTGGGTCAGCATGTCCCGACGCTCCATCCCAGTAAGTCTGCCAGCGACCGAGCCCCGCCTGCCTCGTGCTGTCGGGGTTTGTTTTTTTTTTTTTTTTCACCCCTCTTTGGTTTTGGGAGCCGCAGTCTCATAAAAGATGCTCCAGCGCCAGCTCTGCCTTGGGGAGACGGATTTATGAGTCCTAAAGCTGCGCCTTGGTTGCCCGAGATGAAGTAGATTTGTGTTTTTCTCTCAACTATAAAATGAGGAGTGTTGAGAACTGGTGTGGTTCGACAAACGTGACGTGCCTCTCTTGGAAGGGGGAGTGGGTTTCTAATGAAAAGTGTAATAAAGTATAATACTTGCAGATTCATAAGCATGTGCTTAATTGGGGGGGTAGGAGAAATTATTTTCTCCCGCTTGCGATTTTGTGAAGCGGCTCCATTTCGGTAGCTGAATTCTACAGGCAGTTCAGGGAATTCCTGAATTCTACAGGATTTCTTCCAGTGAGAAGTGTGTGTGCTGTTAACGTGAGTCCCTGAGAAATTCTGGCTGGGAAAATTTCCCTGAAACTCAGCCTGTGTTTTTACTTTTCAGCATCAGAGGAGCTGACGATTGCCGGAATGACTTTTACGACTTTTGATCTGGGTGGACACGAGCAAGGTAAAAGTGAAGCTGCGGCGCTGGGGGGCACCGAATGAGGTCAGCCTTCTGATTTCTGCCGTCCTCTCCAGCCACCTTAAGAAAAATCTGCCAAAAAGCGATACTGAAAAGCGAGAGCAATTAGCAGTACTTAATTATTTGTGGCCTGAAATTACTTCTGGAGCTATTTGTGGAAATAACCTCCTGGCTCTAGCATCCCAGTGGTTCAATATTTGTGCTTAATTGTGGCAGTTTGGAAAAAAATGCTGCCAGTTCGCGCTCTGCTGCCTGAAATATTTTTAGCTGCGGACGACTTGAATGTTGTAGGCTTATTCTTCAGAATAATTGCTGAATTTGTTGGTTTTAGATTTTCTAGGAGTTCTAAGCAAAGTTTTTCAGCCTTTGTTTTCTAATACACAAAAATATTGGAAGACAGACGCCCTGGATAAAAAGGCAGCCTCGGTTGCCAGGGCTTGCTTATGCAAGGCTCTCCGAACTGCCTGGCTGGCGGCCTCGGCGAGTCCCTTCACCAGAGGGTCTTCTGTCGCCCTGAGGAAATTGTGACCGAGAGGGTGGCTCCTTTTTGGGTGTAGTTTTCCCGCTGCTGCGGGTACCCGTTTCACGGGGCGGTGTTTGCCGCTTCTGCCTTCCAGCTCGCCGCGTCTGGAAGAACTACCTGCCGGCCATCAACGGGATCGTCTTCCTGGTGGACTGCGCCGACCACTCGCGTCTTATGGAATCCAAAGTTGAGCTTAACGTAAGCTGCTTTTTCTCCTTCCCCAGCACCTCCGCGTAGCTAAACTTATCGATGGCAGTCTTTTGGGGGGGGCTGGGACTTGTGGACAGTGCGTTTTGAGAGTCTCGTGCTTTGGATCTGCACTGCCGGTGCACCTTGGACACCGGCGATGCGGTGTCCAGAGCGTGTGCTTGTCAGAATTCGGACGTTGCTTTGTGCAGGGGTTTATAAGTATAGTCGTCCCAGAGCTGAAGAAGTTTTGAACCGGCCCGTGCGTTTAGATAGGAGCCTCTTCTGAGAAACCTTTCTGGAGAGACTCCTCTTCCACAGAAATACCGCAGAACCGACAAAATAGCCCTCGATCACGCAGCTCGCGCAAAATCTTTTTCCTCGAATGGTGAACGTTCGTTCTGCCTCCGCTTAACTCTCTCCTTCCGTCTTGCACGCAGGCGCTAATGACAGATGAAACAATATCCAACGTGCCAATCCTCATCTTGGGTAACAAAATCGACAGACCGGAGGCCATCAGCGAGGAGAAACTGCGGGAGATCTTTGGGCTCTACGGACAGACCACGGGAAAGGTAAGGGGAGGCATCCGAACCTCGGAGGGTCCCGTGAGCGAGGCTGGGGAGGGAGGGGGGGGTTTGGCGCCTTGGTTGAGGGCGGCGGGGCTGCGGTGGTCACTTCCCTTTTGGGTTTCCCCAGGGGAACGTGCCGCTGAAGGACCTGAACGCGCGGCCCATGGAGGTGTTCATGTGCAGCGTGCTGAAGAGGCAAGGCTACGGCGAAGGCTTCCGCTGGCTATCGCAGTACATTGACTGACGCTCGGGCGGACCGAAAAAGAGTTTTACTCCCCCTGGACTTGATCCTCTTCACCGCTCCCTACGGACTTTGCCACCAGAACACGGAAGGCTTTCCCCGCCGCGTTCCGGCGCTGACCAAGAGACTCCCGGATTTCGGCTGCCCTATCGCACAGTGGTGACACACGACTCTCTTCGGCGGCACCGCCTCCGCGCGCGGGTGCAAGGCGTCCCTCTCAGCTCGGTTACGGCGGGGCTGGTGGGGCCTGGGGAAGTAAAACGCTGCACGCTGCACTCTTTTGAACAGCTGAAAAAGAGAGCAGGTCTCACCACTGTGGCTAATTGACTTAACAAAAAAAAAAAAAAAAAAAAGAAAAAAAAAAAAAAAGGAAAAAGCAATTATATTTTTTAAAGAAAGTGTTAATGTAAACAGTGTCCCTTCTAACTTTTTAGTTTAACGTTCATCTTGTTTAGTCCGGAGTCTGGTTAGGGTTTTTTAAAAATATATTTAACGGTATTTAGATATTTCACAAATTACTGAACCAAGGTATCACGATATTAGAAGTCCTCAATAAACATAGCATTTGGGCTTAACTGAGCTGTAGGGTGGCTGTGCTGTGTCACGGAGAGGGTGCCCTGGGGACCGAGGTGTGCAATCTGACCTGCTTTTGGCTTACGGGGATTTGTTTGGGGTTTTTTTGGTTTGTTGTTTTGGGGGGCGGTTTGTTTGTTTTGGTTTTTTTTTTTTCCCTTTATTTGGAGGTGAGCCCGCCGGGTTTCGGGTTCCCCTGCAGCTGTCCGGGCCTCGAATCCTCTTGGTTTGGGTGGTCGTAGCATGGAAGTGTTTGATGTTTGCGTGCCATGAGGTTATTAATGTAGACTTGAACCCTATTCTTTTATATGCGATGGATTTTTTTTTTTTTTTTTTTTTTTAATTTTCTTTTTTCTTTTCTGTTGTCTGAAGTTTCATTTCTGTCTGGCGCTCCTTTTCGGTTCAATAAAGACGTGACTTTACCCTCTGCCGGGGTGGCCGTCCTCCCTCCGCCCTGGCGCTGCCCTTGGGCCGTCCGTGGGGTGTGTGTGTGTGGGGGGGAGGTAAAACCGAAACACGAGCGGGAACGACACGCAAAGCCTTCTCCCGTGGGCCGCCCGCTCCCCACGCTAGTACCGGCATGGGGGCACACCCGCGCCCCCAGGGCGGAGCGGAACCCTCTTCTCCCGTCCTCAGGCGTAAAAAAAAAAAAAAAAAAAAAAAAAAAAAAAAAAAAAAAAAAAAAAAAAAAAGGGTGTTTTTTTGGAGCGCGAAACCCCTCCGCGACGCCCACGGGTGGGAGCGGGGTCCCGCCGGCCGCGCTGAGGGGAGAGGGGCGGGGCGGGGCGGCACCGCCACGTCGCGCGCCCCGCCGCCAATGGGGAGAGCGCACGCCCCCGCCGCAGCCAATGGGAGGGGCGGGGCGGGGCTTGCGGCGCCCCGGCGGGACGGGCCGCCCTCCCCGCCGCCATGGCGGCGGAGCGGGTTTGCTGCGCCGTCAGCGTCTCCGGCCCCGGCGGCGGTCCCCTCAGCTGCAGCGGCGTGGTGCTGAGCCGCGGCCCCGGGCTGGTGCTGTGCCGAGGCGCCGTCTTCTCCCCGTTCCTACGGGGCGGCCCCGCCGCTTGGGCGCAACCCGACGCCTTGCCCCCGGACGCCCTCCTGCCCGGCCTGCGCCTCCTCGTCCTGCAGCCCCCGCCGGGCCCTCGCCCCTTCGACGTCCCGGCGGGCGGCTTGAGGCGACACGAAGCCCGGCTCCTGGCGCTGGTGCCCTGCGGTGCCTTCCAGCAGGCGCTGGTGCGAGTCTTCGGCCGAACGGAGCGGTGGCGGTTCGGCGGCGAGGAGGCGGGTGACGACCCGCGGGCCTTGACCTGGTTCGCCTGGCTGCGGGTGCCAGGGCTCGGCACCCCTGAGGGCGGCTGGACAGGCCGGGCGAGCGCCAGCCGCCTGCGGAAAGGCGAGGGGCTGCTGGCCTGCGGGTCGCCTTTCGGCGCCCTGTGCCCCGACCTCTTCCTCAACACCCTGAGCAAAGGGGTGGTGAGCAACGTGGCCGGCGAGGAGAACGCCCTGCTGCTCACCGACGCGCGATGCCTGCCCGGCACCGAGGGCGGCGGCGCCTTCCTGCCCTCGCCGGCCGGGCCGCTCTTGGTGGCCGTCATCGCCGCCTCCTTCTGCTGGAAGGGCGCCGAGTGGGTCGGGCTCACCTTGCTCTGCTCCCTCGACGCCATCCTGAGCAGCAGCGCCGACGTGCTGGGTGAAGCCGGGCTGGCACTGCCACCGGTGCCGCGGCGGGAGCCAGCGGCATCGGGGATCAAGCAGGACCCCCCGGGCGGGGCGGCGCTGGTGGAGTGCGGGGCGGCGTGGGGGTCGGGGGTGCTGCTGGCCCCCCGCCTGCTCCTCACCTGCCGGCACGTGGTGGAAGCTGGCGTCCCGCTTCACGTAACGCTGCCGCCCGGCCCCAGCCGGTGAGTGTGTGGCCGCGCCGTGCACCCTTCCCTTCCCGTGCCGGGGGGTGTTCGTGTCCCCCACCCACCCAGCGTGACATTTCGTGTGCCTTGTCCTTAGGGCTGCCGCCGTCCTCACTGGGCGCGTGGTGTTTGCCACCGAGGCGTCGTCCCCCTTCGACGTGGCGGCGGTGGAGCTGGAGGAGAGCGTGCCGGGCTTCGTCTCCCCACGCCTGGCGGACACCTTCCTCCCAGGTAAGCGACTGGGGGGGGGGGGTTGGAGGGTGTGGGGGGGTATGGTTGGGGGAAGGTAGGGAGGGGAGAGTCACCCACCTCACCCCTCCCGCCCCCCCCCCCCGCCGCAGGCGAGGAGGTGAGCGTGGTGGGCTTCGGGGCGCTGGGGCGGGCGTGCGGCCCCTCGGTGACGGCGGGGGTCCTCTCGGCCGTGGTGGCGGTGGCCGGGCGCCCCATCATGCTGCAGACCACCTGCGCCGTCCACGGGGGCTCCAGCGGCGGCCCCCTCCTCTCCTCCCGCGACGGACGCCTCCTGGGTAAGCCGTGAGTCTCCCGCAAGGTTGGGGAGGGTCCCGTGGGTGGACTCGAGTTTCACGGACCTCGCTCCTCTCCCCACCAGGGATCGTGGCCAGCAACACCCGGGACACGGGCGCGGGGGCCACCTACCCCCACCTCAACTTCTGCGTCCCCGTCACCGTCCTGCAGCCCCCCGTCGCCCGCTACCGCCGCACGGGTGACCCCGCCGCCTTCGCCGTGCTCAACCAGGCGGGCGAGGGGGTGCGGGCAGCCTGGAGGCTCCAGCGCCAGCAGGGCCCCCCCAGCAAGCTCTGACCCCGCGCCGGGGGGGGTGGGGGGGTGTGATAAGGGCTGGGGACAGCGCAGCCACAGCCCCTTTTTGGCCCCCGGCGCTTTCAGGGCCGGGCGACTGGACCTGGCCGTGGCGAGGAGGGGCGGGGGGGGGGGTGTGTGTGCCGTGTGGTGCTTTTCCCAACCTGCTGGTACCCCCCAAATTGATTTGTTTTTTTTTTTTTTTTTTTGGTTTTTTTTTTTTGTTTGTTTTCTCCCTGGAGCCATAAACGCTGTGAGTTGAGGCCGTGGTGTCCTGTGGTGGTGGGGGCGGGGGGTGTGCCTCATCCCCACCTGCATGGGTGGCAAGGCCAGTCTGTGTCATCCCCTTCCCCCCACCCCAGGTAGGAGGGGAGTGTCTGAAAGCTGGTAACTCCCCCCCCCCCCCACACCCGGGAGGCACCTACACACTGATTTTGGGGGGGGGGTGGGCGTAGGGTTGGAGGTGTTCAGGGACCAGGGTCCTTATGAAGGGCTGGGGGAGGAGGGAATGCTCTGGGTCACTGGATGGTGGGGGGGGGGGGGGGGGGGTGGCAGAGGGTGCAGGTGAGGTTGGGCCTGGGGCAGAGGTGGTGTCAAGGTCTTCGGTGAGCTTGGGGTGGGGGGGTGGGCCGGGTTGGGGTCTGTCAGGGGCTTTACGGGGTAGAGTGGGGCCACAATTGGTGCTGGAGCCTATGGGGGGGGGGGGGGGGGAACCACACACACACACAATGTGTCAGTTGAGCGTGGGGGACCCAACCCAGGGGCATTTGCAGGGGGGGAAACCCCCCCCAACCGCTCACAGCCCCCACTCTGCCCCGCGGGGGGGGCGGGGGCACCACCAGCACCCCTGCCCGCCCCCAGCACCCCGTGCAGGGCCGGTGGGTGCAGGTGGGTTGTGGGGAGGGTGGGGCTGAGGAAGGGGTGGGCAAGCGTTTGACACAGCACGGGGTGTTTATTTCACAGCTGCTACACAACACCAGGGGCTGGGGTGGCCACGCAAGCACGGGGTGGGGGGGGGATGTGTGGAATATGCACTGGGGGGGTGTGTAGCTTATCTACAGGTGGGGTTTTTGGTATTTTTTTCCTTTTATTTTTCCCACTTTTATTAGCGCCGTTTGCCCGGTTGGAGCCCACGCGGCAGCACACTAGGCCTACAAGGCTCTACCCGAAAGAAAAAAAAAAAAAAAAAAAAAAAAGAAAAAAAAAAAAATCAAAATAAAAAGCTCAAATTCGCACAAGCGTGGCCCCCCCTCCCCCCCCTGCCCCGCTTGCCCCCCCTCTCCCCAGGTGAGCACCCCCAGACCCCATCCCCCAGGGGGCTGGGGGGGGCAGGAGGGGGATGCACCCACCCCATGCCCCGCCGGCAGCGGGGTGGGGGGTCACGGGGACCCCCAGCCGGGGGGGGGCTGCCTCCCGGCTGTGCCGCCCTCCAAGCTCTCCTGTTCCTCTACCAGATGTAGCCGCCGTCGTCGCCCTCGCCCGCTTCGCCCTCCTCTTCCTCGCCTTCCTCGCCTGCCTCCTCCGGCTCCTTCTCCTCCTCGTCCTCCCAGCCCACGCTGCTCCCGAAGTCACCCGAAAAACCCGCCGGCTCTTCTGCAGGGGTGAGGGGCAGAGGCTCACAGCCGGGTCCTGGGGGTCCCCGGATTTTGGGGGGGTGGGGGTGGGGTGAGTGGTGGGGCTGTGTGTGTGTTCCCCCCCCCCCCAGCTCACCGCAGTTGGGGCTGCCGTGGCCGCGGGTGCCTGTCACCTCGGCACCGTGCTGGTCCACGCACCAGCACTCCCCGCCGCCCGGCTCACACTGCGCCCGCCGGTAGTACCCGTCCTCATCACAGCTGGGGATGAAGGTGCCTGCGGGGAAGCCACGATTTCCGCCCCCCCCCCCCGCCCCCCCCAATACACGTGCAGTGCGAGAGCCCCCTGCCACGGAGCTCCTCGACACACAGGGCTCCCCGGGACCACCCCCCCCCCCCCCTTCCCCCTCCCCTCAACTCACCTGGCTTTTTTTTGGCTGCTTCTTGGATCTGAATCTTCTCCAGCTCCCGCAGACAGGGCGGCTCTGCAGCACCACCCCCCCCCGCCACGCCGCTCTTAGGGTGGGCGGGCAGCCCCCCAGCCCCCCGTGGTGTGCCTCCCCCCCCCGCCCCCAATTCCTGCAGCATGCGTTTCCCCACCCAACTGGTGTGTGCGCGTGTGCGTTCCCACCCCACGGGGACCCCACGGCGTGCACGCACCCTCCCCCCAAATTCCTGCACCGCGCATTCCCACCCCCCCACCCGCCCCCCCCCATGCCGTGCAGGCTTCCCCGTGACCCCGCAGCCTGCACACCCCCACTGTGCAACCCCCCCTAACCCCACAGCGTTCATTTCCCCACCCCACCCCCCCCTCCAACCCCGTGGCGTGCAACCCCCAGCCCCCACAGCATACGACCCGCAGCACCCCCACAAAGTGTGAGACGCCCCCCTCCAAGGTGCGACGCACTTTCCCTCCAGAAGCAGAAGCACCACTCGGGAGCGGAGACGCGGCCGTCCTTGGAGGTGTCGCAGGAGTTGAAGAAGGCGCGGATGCACACCTCGTACTTGTCCAGGTTGATGGCGGCCAGCTCGGCCGCCTCCAGGAAAAGATCCCCGCTCGTGTCCAGCCGGGCGAACATCCACCCCACCGCCTCCTTGCAACTGGCCACCACGCTCCTCTCCAGCGCTGCGGGGCAGGATGCGACCCGTGGCTGCCCGGTGAGTGTGTGCGTGCACGTGTGTGTCCCCCCCCCACCCCACGGGCCAGCACCCCGTGTCCGGGACGCGTACCGGTGGCGGGGCTGGCGGGGAGGCCGCCGGAGCCGTTCTGCTTGGCGTTCTCCCGCAGGAGCTGGAACCAGTCGCGCAGGCGGTCGCCCAGGTCAGCCAGGTCCTGCCCGGTGCACAGCTCTGGGAGAAGGGGGTGTCCAGGGAGGTGGCATCATGCCGGATAGGACGTGGGGGGGACCGCCCCCCCCAAATCCCTGCCCATCGCTGTGCCCCGTCCCCCCGTCCCGCTCACCTTGCTTGCCGTCGCCAGCGGGGCCGTGCGGGGTCGGGCAGGGGCACTGCCCCTCGCACCGCACCGTCAGCTGCTTGCTGGCCAGGCACGCCTGCTGCTCCAGCTTGCACTGCGGGGTGGCAGCGGGACGTTGGTGGGGAAGAAAAGAGGGGGGGATCCCCCCCCCCCCCCAAAAATGCAGCCCAGTGGTGCCGCCGTCCTCACCGCCGAGCTGTAAGTGTGGCCGTCGGAGCCGCAGACGGCGGCGAGCGGGGTGGCGTGGCAGGGCTTGCAGCCCCCGTGCCCCTTGGTGCCCAGCGGTTTGATCCTGTATATGTGTGCATGGGGGGGGGGGGGGGGGATCGTGCTGAGCCCCTGGCTCAGCCCCCCCCCCCCCCCCCCCATCTACAAAATCCCCTGCCCACCCTCCTACCTGTGCTCCAGCTTCTTGCGGCTGATGCACATGGCGCGCTGGTAGCCCTGCGCCACGCACACCTTGTGCCGGCTGCACTTCACCTTCTGACAGGGGTCCTTGGTGGTGTCCAGGGCTGGGGAGGGGGGCAGAGAGGGGCCGGGGGGGGCAGGTGGGGACCCCCCGGGGGAGCCCCCCGGCAGCGCTGGCCGCCGGCCGGCCCGGCACAAAGCCCCATTCAGGCTGCAGCTGGGCGGCCGCCTCGGCACCAGCTGCCGCTTCCCGGCACGCGCTGGCCCCCCAGCCGGAAGGGGAAAACCCGGAGGGGGGGGTGCGGGCAGAAAGGGGGGGGGGGGTTCTGTGTTTGTGTGTGTGTGTGTGTCCCCCTCCCTGCCCCCCTCCAGCTGGCACCGAGCCCCCTGCGCCCCATCCCAGCGGTACCTTCATCCCCGGGCTGGTTGTCCTCCCAGCTCTTGATGTAGTCGTCCTGCGAAGAGGGGAGAGCCTGGACGGGCGCGTCACCACCCCACCGGCCCGGCGAGGCTCCCCTCGCACCCCCCCCATACCCTGGGTACCCCCCCCCCCCCTCCAAACCCAAGAGGGGAACAAGCAGGGGTGGGGAACATCTTCCCCACCCAAAAGCAGGGTGCCACCAGGGCGAGGCAGCACCGGGCAGCCCCTCAGAGCTCACCTCCACCTCCTGGGCAGCGTGGCGGCGAGAGGGCCCGGCCGACACCGAAAAAAAAAGAGAAAGAGAGAGCGGGAGCGCCCACCGTCAGCCCTCAGCCCCTGCTCCCGGGCACCCTACGCCAGTTGGGCACCCCCCAACCTTCCAAGGTGCCCAAAGCTCTTGTCAGGAGCTTCAGGTGTCGCCGGCGCCCACCACCAACATGCTCCCCAATCTCTAGCCAGAGACCTGTGATCCTGGGGAGTCTTTACAGAGGATAAAACATTCCCCTGTCATCCCTCGGATGGCTGGGAAAGGCAAGGAACAGGGATGGAAGAGGCATCGGGTGGAGGAAGCCCCCGGGGAGCCCAGCGAGGCCTCTCCAGGATCCCCGTGGGGTGACAGTCCTTGTGCTGCCACCCCGGTTTTTCAATAGCAAGCCTGGAAAGGAGTGGGCTAAGATGGACGTCGCTGCCTGGGGAGAGGCACAGCCGCTCCCCCGGGACCCCGAATCCACCCCAGTGGTGGGGTGGGGAGCAGCAGGGATTCAAACCCTCCCGCAGGCAGCATCGCTCGCCCCGCGGGATGCTCTGGGGTGGGTTTCGTGACAAAAGCAGGGGCTTTCCTGCCGCCCCGGCGAGGGTTTGGGCCGGCGGCGCGGGAGGCAGCGCCGGGAGGGGATGGCTCTCGCTCCGGCGCCGCGGCGTTTGCGCCGCAATCGATAGCCTGCGTTCCCGTGCCCGTGATTAGTAACACTGCAGCGCCCGGCAGCTCCCTGCGGCGCGGCTTTCGGCACAGCCGCCACCGGCCTCCCCCCCGCACCGGCGCTGCTCGGCCGAAAAACCCCACAAATCCACGGGATTTGCTTATTAATCCACGCTAACCGCTGGCAGGGCTGCAGCCCCCCCCCCCCCCCCCCCCCCCCCCCCCTTTCTCCCCCGGCCCAGCAGCCTTGGCACAGCCGGGCAGGCCCTACGCGTGCTCCTAGCACCCAGGGATGGGGGGCTCTCAGCCAGAAATCCCCCCCCCAGGGATGCCCAGTGTGGTGGGGGCACCGCTGCACGTGCTCCCCCCTGGAGCATCCGCAGCCAGCCCGGGTCCCAGGAGGCGTTGGCCGGGTGGGTACGTTGCTGCAGGGGGTCTCCAGGGAGGCGTTTACCCCATCCTTCGCACCCTTTGCTCATGCTCTGTCCCCCTAACTGTTGTGTTTTTTTTTTTTTGGGGGGGGGGGATGTCCCCCACCCTGCCCGATGGCGGGGCACACCTCCCAGCAGCACATCCTCACTGCCAAGGTGAACCCGAGCGCACATCTGAACAAAGACCAGGGGGATGCTGGCTCTGGGTACCGGGGGGGGGGGGGTGGGGTGCAGCTCGGGGTGTGCTCCCTCCCTGCTTGGCTGCTGCAGGTCCCCCCAGATGGGGCTGCAAACGCTGTGCCCCCTCCCTGGAGGACACGAGCTGGGGGGGTGACGTGGGGGGCAAGGGGTGGGAATTGAGCCCGGGAAACGTCCCCGTAAAATTAAGGGCTGGAACTAAACGCCGTTGAGGGCTGCGTAAAAGCCAGGGGTGACAGGATCCCGAGCCGAACGTGCCAGGTCACCTGCCATCGCTCCGGCAGTGCCTGCAGCCTCACCCCTCCCCGTGTCCCCCCGTCCCTGTCCCCCCCCCTCTCCCATCCCCAGGGACCACCACCCAGCCCTGCAAGGGTCGGGGGAGTGGGGGGGGTCTGTGCCCTGACCCACGGCTGAGCCGTCACCGAGGGGCTGAGCCCACGGCTGCCCGCAAAGGGCAGGCAGGGCCTGCCTGTACCTCGGGCCCTGACAGGGTTGGGGGGACACACACACACACAGAGCACCCCCAGGTCCCTCCCGCCCGAGGTTGGCGCTGGCGTGGAGCCCTGGCCGCGGTGGCCTTTGGCATCAGCCACGCCAGCTTGGGCGATGGTGGCGTTGGCACCGCCGAAACCCGGGAGCATCCTCCGGGTACCGGGGCCGTGGCGGGATGCGGGCGGCACCGAGCATCCCCGGCCGCCCGCGGTGGGGCCGGGGGAGGGTCGTGCTGCAGCAGCCGCAGCGGCGGGGAGGGGAGGGGGCTCCCGGTGCCCGTTCGCCACCCCTCTACCCTCCTAACCCTGCCCCCCCCCACACACACACCCCCGCCGCTACCGGCGCGGACTCACGTCTCGGAAGCGGTTCCAGTGCTTGATCCTGCCGCCGTACTGGGAGATGGAGGAAAGCCATTGCTCGTCCTCCATGAAATTCCCGGGGCTCTCCCCCGCCGCCGCGGGCCCGGGGCCGGTGGCGGGGCCGGCGGCGGCGGCGGCGGGCAGGAGCAGGGCCAGCAGGGCCAGGAGGGCGCGGCGCCCGCCGCAGCCCCGCATGCTGCCGCAGCGCCGGGGGGGAGCGGTGCGGAGCGGCGCGGTGCGGTGCGGAGCGGTGCGGAGCGGTGCGCACGGGGAGGCGCCGGCGGCGAGTGCGGCCGCGGGGCGGCACCGGGCGGCACCGGCGGGAGGGGCCGGGGCGGAGCCTCCGCCGCGCCCGCCGCACCTGCGCGCCGGCACCGGGGCGGCCGCAGCCCCCGGCCCCAGCCCGCAGCCCCCGGTCCCTGCCCGCAGCCCCCTGCCCCCCGCCACACCCCCCCATCCTGCACCCCTCACCCCTGGTCCCCACCACATCCCCAGCCCTGCCACATCCCCATCCTGCAGCCCCTGCCCCACCTCCACCCCACATCCCCTGTCCCTCTCCCTGCCCCGGCCCCATCCCACACCCCCTGTCCCCATCCCACAGCCTCTCTGTCCTCGTCCCCATCCCGCAGCCCCTGCCCCGCCCCCCCCCCCCCTCCCCGCATCCCTCACCTCTGGTCTCACACTGTGTCCCCAGCCCACATTCCCCACCCCTGCCACATCTCCATCCCCATCCTGTGTCCCCTGGCCCCGTCCCGCATCCCCTGGCCCTGTCCTCGGCCCCATCCCGCATCCCCTGGCCCCATCCCGCAGCCCCCATCCTGCATCCCACGGCCCCTGCCACGCCCCCATCCTGCACCCCTCACCCCTGGTCCCCACCACATCCCCAGCCCGCATTCCCCACCCCTGCCACATCTCCATCCCGCATCCCCCATCCCGCATTCCCAGTCCCTATTATGTCCCCACCCCACACCCCCTGTTCCTGCCGTGCCCCCCCCCCCCCCCCCGGCTCCATCCCCGCCAAATCCCTGTCCCCTCCATCTTCCACCCGGCCATCTCCGCCCGCTCAGGCTCGGCGAGGAAGGACGGTGACAACTCGCCCCGGCTGCAGCCGCGAAGGAGCAGTGGGGGGAGCGGGGCTCCTTCCCGGCAGCTCCCGGCACACACACACAAAAATTTCTTCTCCCTGGGAGGATTCTCGGGATGGAGAGAAAACACAGCGACGGCCCACGGCGGGTGCACGTGCTGCCTCCAAAGCAGCGGTGCTGAGCCTAAGTGAGGCTGCTGCGGTTGGAAATACATCTTCCAGGTACTGCCTTTAAGAAAAACGGCGTTATTTTCAACTTTTTAACGATGAGCCGCGCTCCCCACCTGGGCTCCAGCGAGCAGAACGATGGCCTAGAACGACTTTCCTCTTCCCCTGAGCGATAAGGACGCAGGGATCTGCAAGTGGGGCGGCCCGCCTCCGGTGCAGCCTAGGCGGGGGAAAGAAGCAGAGCTGTGGATTTCATTTTTAACAAGTTTTAGGCGAGTTCTAAAAGTATCGGGTTGCATCCTGCAAGCCCGTAACACTGCCTGGTTTAACGGGTTTTTAATTTGTCGGTGCGGGACCACGCGCAAAACACAGTTTTATCACGCTCAGCATGAAACTGTTCTAATTACATCGACGAATAATGATAGGAAAGGGAAAACCCTGGGTAAATCCATCACGGTACCTTTCCTTCCAGCCCTGACCCACCCCACCCCCCCCCCCAAAAAGCAGCAGTAAATGTGTTTTATTTACACGAGTAGCTCCCTCGTTGTAAGGGGATACAACACCCCACTCTGCCCCTCTCGTTTGTATAATAAGCCCTTTCATTTCAAAAGCGCCACCGGCAGAGCGGAGCTGCCCCTCCGCCAGACTCACGTGCACGCCTCACGTTATACAAAGGGCTGAAGCGAAGCGCGAATTTAGGGACAGGCACAGCGGTTTGCTGGATCACAGCCTAGCAGAGGAGAGGAGACTCCACGGAGAGGAACAGGCCAGAACCCTTCATTCTGCCCGGGGACGGAGGGGCGAAACAAAATTTAGCTGTGCCGGGGATGAGCTGCTTACCGCTGAAATTCAACCAACTTCCAAACTGTCACGGAAATAATTGTAATTAATAGATGTCTACGCTAGCGGGAAGTGGAGGAGTGTGCTCTGATCAGCTCTTCTTTGTAGGAAAGCTGCGTTTGCCTCCGCGCCGAGATGCTGTTTGCGAGGGGAAAGCTAGTCCCGCGCTGGGGAGGTGGGAAGGCTTAGTCCCGAAGCTACAAGGCCGCCTCAACAAAAAACCCCCGACTCGCCCGTATCGGGTGACAACAGAGGAAAGCAGGTGTGACCGAAATGCCCTGCCAAGGAAAACTGGAGCGCAAACCCCAGCCCGCATCCCGGCGCGCTCCGCTGCTTGCCGAGAGCGGTTAAGAACCCAGCAGGCAGCAGTTTTCCGAGGTGCCTCTTCCCCTTCCCTGCGGCAGGCAGCTGTGCGAGCAGCTCCCCGGGTCTGTTCTTCGGGCGGCTGATGAGATTTGCCAAGTACCTCTTCAGGCTGGCGGGAAGACGACGGCGCCGGGCGTGAAGTGCTCTCAGCATCTCCCCGCGCCGGGCTGCTTGCGAGCGCGCCGGTGCCCCGCGGTTTCCAAAGCGGCCTTGCCTCCTCCGCTCAGGCAGCACGAAGGCGTTCGGCTGCAAGGAAGAGCAAAGACGGAAAGCCCGACGGGTGTAACTGGGTACGAGCGTGGACTCCAGGGTAGAAGGCAAGCAGCAAAACTGCGGATGATTTAATTTCCTGGCAGGCAGGTTTGAAAGCAGAGGTGGTGTCGTGGTTTGGGCCTGGTTGGCAGCCAACCCCAACGCAGTAGCTCTCTCTCCCTTCCCCTCCGGCAATGAGAAGGGACAGAGAGCCAGGCTTGGGGTTCGAGATAGGACTGGGATGGGGGAAAATCCCCCTTTTATGATCACGAGCAAAAGGCAGACTCGTTAGGGGAAGAAAAAAAAAAACATACATTTTTTACAGACACTAACAACACATAACAGAGTAGGACAGTGAGAAGCATTGCCACATCTTGAGAACACCTTCCCCCCACCCCTCCCTTCTCCCCGGGCTCAGCTCTGCTCCCGATATCTCTACCTCCTCCCCCAGTGGCGCAGGGGCAGGGAATGGGGGGTGCAGTCAGCGCTGCCACTTCCTTCATCTTCGGTGAGGGGAGTGTCCGAAACTTGTTCCCCCTGCTCCATCGTGGTCCCCCTCTCACAGGAGACAGTCCTCCACAAACTTTCTCTGACTTGAATTCCTCCCATGGGCCGCAGCGTTCCCCACACTGCTCCGTCATGGGTCACTAACTTCCTCCGACTGGATTCCCTCCCGCGGCTGCAGCCCTTCCCGAGCTGCTCCGGCGTGGGACTCCCCCGCATGCTGCAATCCTCCCAGCGCTGAATTACAGCAGCGGGGCTGCCTTTTCCCATGAGACCCCGGCCTTCTTCGGGCACAGAACCTTGATCATGCGAGCAGGAGCCACAGGCCATAAATCAATGTCTGCTCCACCGTAGATCTTCATGGGTGGCAGGGGGGGCCGCCCTGCCGTCTCCCCACAGGATACAGGGGGGTCTCTGCTCCGGCACACCTCCCCCCTCCTTTCTTCCTCCGTTCCTCCACTGACCTTGGTGTTCATGCAGCTGCAGCAACTCCTCCTCACAAGTCCCACTGCCCGTCACCACGTCCCTTCTTAAATACGTTATCGCAGAGGCGCAGCTGATGGGCTCAACTTCCCAAACAGAAATGGAGCTGGCTTGGAGCTGGGGAAGCTTCGAGAAGCTTCTCACAGGGGGCCGCCCCGATAGCCCCCTCCCCTGCCACCAAAAAACCCCACCACTCACTCAACCCAGGACAGGTGGACAACGTGAGCTCGGCAACACAACGCCTTTGGAGGCAAAAAGGAAAGCCGCCCCGAAGCCCGCCTGCCTCCGCGCGTGCGGTCAGAGCACGGCCACTTCGGGAGGGAGGAAACGGGGTGAAAACCTCCTTAAAGCAACCCCGGCGCTGCCTCTCACGCTCCCCACCTCAATGGCAGCCATCAGCAACGGGCAGCAGCCGCCGTCACCAGGTCGTTGCAAAACAACCAAACACCAGCATCTTCCACTTCTCCAAGCGTTCGTCCTCGGGCGAGTTGAAAGCCTGTGTCGCTATTCTTACCGAACGTGGAGATGGAAAAGCAAAACCAGTTGTCTTCAGATCTCTGAAGGATTCACAGTGGCAGCAAAGAGTTTTGCGCTTGGAGAAGCCGCCTACAAGGCATGTGTTTTCCGGCACGCTCCAAAATGGTCACTGGAAAGAGCAAAGAGCTCTTACCATAAAGGCTTTCTTACCAACCTAGTTGCGTGCTGGAAGTTTAATTACAGAAACTATCGATGCAACAGGAGATAAACACGTTGCTTTTGAGGGGAATTCATTTATTTGGAGATCTACATCACACAGGCACGCTGCTGGAAATCCAAGCAACGCCTGACCTCAGTATCATTAAATCATGCTCTCTTGGATTTTCCATTAAAAGGGAGCTCTCTTGGATTTTCCATACTTATTTTAAGAACAAACTTCCTCCTTCTGAAATAAAGCCGCACTTAAACACTGACGATGCCCCAAAAGCCACGTGCACCAGTATTTCTAGTTGTTTTCTTGGAAAACAAACAGGCGACCGACATCAAACAGGCAACTCTGCGACATTTCGGTTGCCAGTGGGGAAAGCAGGCAGAAGGACCCTGGTTGCAGGGAAACACCGTGCCTTCGAGGAGTCACGAGGCATCCCTGCCCGGAGTTCCCAGGTTCCCACCCAAACTTCGTGTCCTGTAAAAACATTTCACCGACAAAACGTGCACCCCCGCGCTTCAGAAGGTCAGCTGCCCAGACGTCGCGTAGTAGCCAGAGGTGTCTGAGAACCTCTGGGAAAGAAGCACCGAGTCCAGCTGCGCCTCTCCGAAGTAGAAGCTCTCGAAGAGCTGAAAGAGAGGAGAAAAAAAACATTTGAGGGGCACCTAGAGAAACGCAGCCTGCAGCTGGGCCACGCATCTCTTGCAAGAGCTGGCCCTGCAAAAAGCCTCTCCTCGTAGACTTGTTTTGCCTTTAAGGAAACTATTCTTCTGCACTTAGCCTTTTGCAGCGAACAGGGTATGAAATGAACACCTCTAAATTTTATCCACCGCAGCAGATGCTCAAACCTCCCCTACCTTGCTTTGTGACTGTGTCTCATTTAGGGAGCTCGGGGAGGCTATTCACCGCCCCGAAGGCTACCACTTCTTGAGGTCGCAGGCTCTGGGGGGGCAAGGATTGAGGCCGGGACATTTTTATCAATCCAGGCCACAGAACGTACGACTTAACAGTCACGGCTCAGTCCTAATTCAAACTAGCTAGAGGCGCAAGGCTCTTCATCCCAGCACTGACCCCGCTTTGTTCAACAAATCCTTCTTTGTTTGGCAAAGGCTTGAGCGCAAATTAATGAAAGCAAGCCAACTCTGGGACCCGGAGGGCGTGTCTCTGCTGATTAATCCAATCTATGAAGCAGACCAAAAAAAAAAAATGACATCAGAATTTCGTACAGGGAAGATTCAGCAACACTGTTGGAAAGGCATCGTGTCCAAGCATAAAGTGCTCCTCCCGTTCCATTAAGACACAGGAAATTGCTTACCTGGAAACATCAGTCCTGCCTTAGGAAAAGCTTTTCAGTGGAGATGCTAATTTCAAAACTCCACTTAACGGGAGTGCTGTGAGTCACTGAGGGCCTGAGCAGTGACAGAGATCTCCGAAACGTCCCTTCCATCTGTCTCCTATTGAATTTTCTATCTGTCCCTGCAGGTTTCGGCTCAAGACAGTCGCACCCCCCCTTCCTGCCATTACAGAAGGCAGGAACAGTAAGGCCAGTGAAAGCCGACGCATTCATTACAAGAGCCAGTGGTGCATCAATTCCTCCATACAGCGAATGCTGGAAACCCCAAACACCTAGTTAGCATCTGAAAGGCTGCACTTCTCCTGCAAAAAGGCATTTGGCTCTGCCTGGCACCAATCTGGGCACTTTGTTGGCTCTCCCAAGGGTATTCTACTTTGCAAATACCTCTTTTTCTGCAAGGGGAGAGGCTAGGTTTCTTTCAGGAGAATTCCTGGGTTTGCTGTCACTCCTCCACAAAGAGAAAAGTGCCTTAGGGCAAGCAATTCCCTGCCCATCTTCAGGGCAGAGCAAGCAGAGCTTTGGCCAGGGAGCCCCACCACGGAGGCAGGTGGGCCACGGAGCAGAGGCCGGGCGCCACGCCGAATCCAGCTCCCGCTCCGGACTGCCAGCTCCTCCGGGCAACTCTCCACTCCGGATTTGGCTGAGGTCAGCGATTCCTCACCGACGCACACGCGACGGGACGGTCGGAGCAGAGCCTCCGAAGAGAAGGGGTACTGCTGGGCGCCGAGCCAGCTCT